AGTCTTAACATAAAACATCCAGGAATCTGAGACACCATGAAAAGACAAAAACCTAAGAATAATAGGGATAGAAGAAGGAGAAAAATACCAGCTCAAAGGTACAGAGAATATATTCAACAAAATCATAGAAGAAAACTTTCCCAACCTAAAGAAGGAAATGCCTATGAAGATACAAGAAGCTTACAGAACACCAAATAAACTTGCTGTGGATATCGCTCTGTATAAATAAAACACTGATTGGCCAGTAGCCAGACAGGAAGTATAGGCAGGACTAGCAGAGAGGAAAGAGCAAAAGGAGAGGAAGGCATTGAGGAGGAGACACCAGCTGCCATTTAGGAAGCATCATGTAGAGGCAACAGGTAAAGCCACGGAACACGTAACAATATATAGATTAACGGAAATGGGCTTAGTATAAGAGTAAGAGCTAGGCAATGGTAGGCCTGAGCTAATGGCCGAGCAGTTTAAATAATACAAGAGTCTGTGTGTTTATTTTATAAGTGGGCTCCGGGAATGGCAGGACTTGGTGGGAGCTGGAAAGAAATTCTCCAGCTACAAATGGCGCCCAATGTGGGGCAAGAGTTTCCACCTAAAACCTGAGTAAAAAGATTCTAAAACGGAGCTAAAAACAGTTCCTAGTTGTCTCTTTAAAGTTAGCGGCAGCCTGTGTGTTTGAGCTACTATCTACTATGGTGGGTTCCTGGCGTGCGCACTCGACCTGCAGTATGGAGGGAATGAGGTCTCTGCAAGTGGCACATTAAGCTGCATGGTGGATTTAGCCTTTGCTAATACAAAACAAAAAGACATTTCTGGGCTACACGCTGCTTTGATAGAAGCATAGACCCACTATTTCTGAGAGTTGATGGCTCCCAGAGCTGGCGGAAAACGTACCACCACCATGTTGGGAAGCTGAAGTGGGCGGAGCCAGCAGCCACAGCGCCGTTTCAGTATTAGAATGCTGCAGTTTAAAGCAATAGGTTCACAATAAGACAAATTCAGATGAAATAGTTTACAATGTATGTAAAAATGTACGTAGGCTTGAAAGAGAGAAAAAAAGGAATATATACAGTTATATAAACAAATAGTTTTTAAAAATAAAGTCTTTAAAGAGACAGTAAAATTAATATAAAAAATAAGCCACGTAAAGATGGCTATCACACAGAGAATCTGGTTTATGTTCTCTTTAATATTCGTAACTGAAGAAAAACATTTGATTGCAAAAGCTGTTGAGTTATGCCAAAATGTAAATTTTAAAGGTACCTTAACTTAAAATTTTGGATATAAGGATATGTTGATTTGGAAAAGAGGCTCTGCTTTTGTTTCCACAGAAGACCAGAGGCTATGGATTTGTTCCAGATTAAGATACATCAGGTTTGACCAGCCAAGACCCCCTGAAAGGTCTCTGATGACACCATGGCCCAGATGATCCAACATCCAGAACAGTTTCAAGGCAACTGGCTCAGACAATACAGCCTCACAGACTACCCCATAAGCCTAAAATTTTCTTTGTGTCCCCATAAGATACAGCGCCCCCCTCCAGCAGGAAGTAGTAAGAAATGCTACGCCCAAATTCCCAAATATACCAAGCTGGCTTTGGAGATGAAATTGGCTCACTCCCCAAAAAGAAGTCTCCTTGTCACATAATAATCAAACCACTAAACATACAGAATAAAAAAAAAATATTAAGAGCTGCAAAGGAAAAAGGCCACATAACATATAAAGGCAGACCCCTCAGAATAACACCTGACTTCTCATTGGAGACTCTGAAAGCCAGAAGGTCCTGGACAGATGTTACACAGACACTAAGAGACCACAGACGCCAGTCGAGACTATTATACCCAGCAAAACTCTCAATCGCCATAGACAGAGTAAACAAAATATTCCATGATAAAACCAGATTTAAACAATACCTATCCATAAATCCAGCCCTATAGAAAGCACTAGAAGGAAAAATCCAACCCAAGGAAGTTAGATGCACCCATGAAAACACAGGCAATAGATAATCCCACACCAACAAATACCAAAGAAGGGAAACACACAACATTACCACCAAAAGGTAACAGGAATTAACAATCACTAGTCATTAATATCCTTTAATATTAATGGACTCAATTCTATAAAAAGACACAGGCTAACTGAATGGCTATGAAAACAGAATCCATCCTTCTGGTGCATACAAGAAACACACTTCAACTTCAAAGACAGACACTACCTCAGAGTAAAGGGTTGGTAAAAGTCCTTCCAGTCAAACGAACTTAAGAAGCAAGCCGGTGTAGCTATCCTAATATCTAACGAAATAGACTTCAAACTAAAATTAATCAAAAGAGATTGGGAAGGATTCATCACAGGAAAAATCCATCAAAATGAACTGTCAATTCTGAACATTTATGCCCCAAATATAAGAGCACCCAAAAGCTTAAATCGCACATCAAACCCCACACACTAATAGTGGAAGGCTTCAACTACCCACTTTCATCAATGGACAGGTCTGCCAGATAGAAACTTAACAGAGAAATAAGGGAACTAACAGACATTATGATTCAAATGGACTTAATAAACATCTATAGACATTCCACCCAAACACAAGAGAATATACCTTCTTCTCAGCACCCCATGGAACCTTCTCTAAAATTGACTACATACTCAGTCACAAAGCAAATATCAACAGATACAAAAAGATTGGAATACCTCCTGTATCTTATCAGATCACCATGGCCTAAAGTTAGATTTCAACAACACCACAAATTACAGAAAGCCTACAATCTCATGGAAACTGAATAATGCTCAACTGAATCACCACTGGGTCAAGGAAGAAATAAAGAAATTAAAGACTTCCTAGAATTCAATGAAAATGAATGTACAACATACCCAAACTTATGGGACACTATGAAAGCAGGAAGGTGTCATAAAAGGAAAGTTCATAGCTCTAAATGCCCACATAAAGAAGTTGGGAGAAATCTCACACTAGTGACTTAACAGCACACCTGAAAGCTGTAGAAAAAAAAGAAGCAAACTCACCCAGGAGGAATAGATGACAGGAAATAATCAAATTGAGGGCTGAAATCAATGAAATAGAAACAAAGAGAACAGTACAAAAAAATCAATGAAACAAAGAGTTGGTTCTTTAAGAAAGTCAACAAGATAAGACAAACCCTTATCCAAACTAAAGAACAGAGAATATACAAATTAACAAAATCAGAAATGAAAAAGGAGACTAACAACAGACAATGAAGAAATCCAGAGAATCATTAGGTCATACTTCAAAAACCTATACTCCACAAAATTGGAAAATCTAAAAGAAATGGACAATTTTCTGGAGAGGGACCATAGACCCAAATTAAATCAAGACCAGATAAACAATTTAAATAGACCTATAACTCCTATGGAAATAGAAGCAGTCATTAAAAGTCTCCCAATCAAAAAAGTCCAGGGCCAGATGATTTCAATGCAGAATTCTACCAGAATTTCAAAGAAGAGCTAATACTAAAACTCCTCAAATTGTTCCATACAATAGAAAAAGAAGGAACATTGCCAAACTCTTTCTATGAGGCTACCGTTACCCCGATACCCAATCCACACAAACATGCAACAAAGAAAGAGAATTACAGACCAATCTCCCTCATGAACATTGATGCAAAAATACTCAATAAAATATTGGCAAACCAAATCCAAGAACACATTTAAAAAAAAAAAAATCCATCATGATCAAGTACGTTTCATCCCAGAGATCCAGAGATCGTTCAACATATGAAAATCTGTCAGTGTAATCCATCATATAAACAAACTGAAAGAAAAAAACCACATGATCATCTCATTAGATGGAACTAGAAAATATTAACCCAAGTGAGGTAACCCAGACTCAGAAAGAAAAACATGGTAGGTAATCACTCATAAGTGGATACTAGACGTAAAGCAAAGGATAATCAGACTACAACCCACAGCTCCAGAGAAACTAGGAAACAAGGAGGACTCTAAAAGGGATGTACAGATCACCTTCGGAAGGGGAAACAGAGATCCCCATGAGTAAATTGGGGTTGAGGGGGGCAATAAAGGGGAGGGGATGGGGGATGAGAACATGAGGGAATGGGATGGTCAAGCTGGGGAGGGATGGAGTGGGAGAGCAATGAAAGAGATGTCTTGATAGAGAGAGACATTATGGGGTAAGGGAGAAACTGAGTGCCAGGGAAATTCCCAGGAATCCACAAGGACGACCCCAGATTAGACTACTAGCAACAGTGGTGAGTGTGCCTGAATTGGCCTACCCTGGTAATCAGATTGGTGAATACCCTAACTGTCAACATAGAGCCTTCATCCAGTAACTGATAGAAGCAGATACAGAGATCCACAACCGAGCACCAGGCCGAGCTCCAGGAGTCCAGTCAAAGAGAGCGATGTGAAGAGGAAACATTTTAGGACAACAAAGAGAAAAGTGGAAATGAGAAAAATAAATAAGCTTTGGAGCTTTATAAAAAGTCTGATTCTAGTTAAATTTATGCTGTGAGTTATTCAAAGCAAGTGGATGAAATTATTACAGCCATATGTTGGCAGACAGTTATCACATGTTCCTTTAAACAGTATGTTCTGTCTAAGCATTAAAATAAGCCACAATAATCAGGTTGAATTGAAGAGTTACACATTTGTCATAATGTAATCAAGGGTCAAATTTGCACTTGAAGATTTATAATATCTAGGGAGCAAACAATGTTCTGTGTAAACATTGGAAAAATCATCTACAAGTGTAGATAAAAGACAAAATTATACACAGGACAAATGCATGGATCATCACAGTCCAAGCTGTTTGCACTGGCTTGTTTAGACACGGCCTTCAATCTTCAAAGTTTCTCTAATAGCATGGGCATCAGGGAAATGGTGGTGACCTGCAGCCCCACTGGGAAATCCTGGACGAACTCCAGGTAGAACGCCTCTGCAGATAAACACTCACAGTAACTTCCATTAGCTTCTCTGAAGCAATGCACAAGTAACTTCACAGAGCACAGCCATACCTTTCCGGAAGCCGCCGACCATAGATACCTCCTCTCCATCTCGCTTCATTATCTTCTGCTCTTAGTTGCTGCATTTGATCGAAAATGGCGTGGTAATGTTCGTACTGCCCTCGAGAAGAGCAAGGAGATGGAGAGACAGCCCCTCCACTGCCAAAAAAGGGAGTCTGGGAATTAAACAAAGAGCTCTTACACACCAGGTTTATCGCATAGGACCTAAGAGGCCTGAGCCATCCTTAAAGAAAAAGTCACTTTCAACACTTAACTTTAAAAATAGTGATTACCTAGTTATGACATAACTAATAAAGACATAGCCAAAAGTAAAATGCTTTCCTACATAAGCAATCAGTGTTCTTGGAGTAGTTTTGCTAACAGTAAAGAATAACAATGTGACAAACAAAAACATTAAGATGTCACTAACCTCATAAAAATATGGGAAAACCTAAACTTAATTATGAAGCTTTTGAAACATGTTTATATCCTACATTTTATATGATTCAGTTCTATGAAGTTTAAATGTATGGTTTAGAAGTAGAATTTGTTTATATCACAGTTAAAAAACTTATTTAACAAAATGTGACTTTTGATATACTCCAAGTCTATTCACCAAGAAGATATGAAGATAAATACATGACTTAAATATATTTCATATGCATATAAAAGAGGAAAAACATATTTACTCTTAATAGTTTTCAAACAAGTTGGAAAAAACCCAAAAGTAAAGCAGCATTCCAGTCATATGGTGAATGAACAAATGAAGTAGTTGCCCTCTGAAGTAAGGAGATTCACAAACCAGGAAAAAATAATGGCCATAGGTAAAAATCTATTTTATTTTAAAGTCCTGGAGAAAGATATTAATTAACCTAGCATTGACAATACTGTTAAAAAAACAGGAAAGAGTCAGGTAACTAACATGAAACACGCTTGTGCTTTGTGTGCATGCTGCAGTAGGGAGAGGAGGAAGGAAGACCACAAACACAGTCATAAGGAAGACAGCAGGGCATTAAACACTGAAAAGAAAGGGTTCGAGCAAAGCACTATTGGGCCTGGAAGAACGAAGTCATGAAATGAACAACAGAAAGCATTTCTAAACTTTCCAGTGCACTGAAACATTTTAAGGTCAAGAAGTCGATACTACACACAGAAGCAGAAATGCAGACAAAACCAGAAAAGCTGGTTAGAGGGCGACAGCAAGGTAGGAAAGCAAGAAGAAAAGGAGTCAATGGAAAGGTAAGTGCTGAACAGACTTGTGGATTTTCTGCAGAAATGACCAACTGATAAAGGTAAAACACTAAGGACTCAAGACAGAAGAACTCACAGTACAGAAAGCTGTTGGAAATGGTTAAGAGATGAATGCGAATGAAAAGTGCAAGACTATAGAAATTTGGAAGAAGTTCCCTGAAAAGAGACAAATCAATGCTCTCCCATGTAGAGTCTAACAGCACTGAAATCAAGAGAGAAAAGATGAATGGTGGCCTTTTAAAACTACTACTATTACAACAGTTAGGTGGTGGTGGCGCACACCTTTAATCCCAGTACTCTGAAGGCTGAGGCAGGCAGATCTTTGAGTTCGAGACCAGCCTGATCTACAAAGTAAGTTCTGGGACAGCCAGGGCTACACAGAGAAACCCTGTCTCAACATGCGCTGCCCGCCGCCCCCCCCCACACCAAAAAAACAAAAACTAACATTAGAATCCAATAAAAGAAGCTTCCAGGGATTCCAATGAGAGATTTGTCTTAACATTTTGATACCATACATAAAATTTTATGAGAAAGTATATTTTAAAAATCAGTTCAAAAAAGGTTAATAAAAGACATTAAAATAACAAGATAAAAGTTGATAGAAGCCGGGCGGTGGTGGCGCACGCCTTTAATCCCAGCACTCGGGAGGCAGAGCCAGGCGGATCTCTGTGAGTTCGAGGCCAGCCTGGGCTACCAAGTGAGTTCCAGGAAAAGGCGCAAAGTTACACAGAGAAACCCTGTCTCGAAAAACCAAAAAAAAAAAAAAAAAAAAAAAGTTGATAGAAATCAGAAAGATAATTAAATGGCTCCATCACAGAGGTCTTCTCATATACCCCATACATTTCAAAATTTGTTAAGGGGCTAGGGAGATGGCTCAGGGGGTAAGAGGGTATGCTACTCTTCCAGAGGACCATAGTGTGGTTCCCAGCACCCACTCGTATCAGTGGCTTAGAACTACCTGTCACTCCAGCTCCAGGAAATCTGACACCCTCTTTGGGTCTCTACCCACAAACTCACCCCTGCATGCACATACACAGATATAAAAATAAAAATTTAAAAACAGTCACTTTAAGAGTCAGGATTCGGGCCAGGTGGCGGTGGTGCATGCCTTTAATCCCAGCACTCGGGAGGCAGAGACAGGCGGATCTCTGTGAGTTCGAGGCCAGCCTGGTCTACAGAGCGAGATCCAGGACAGGCTCCAAAGCTACAGAGAAACCCTGTCTTGAGGAAAAAAAAAAAAGAGTCAGAATTCGGGTTGGAGAGATGGCTTAGAGGTTAAGAGCACTGCTCTTCTAGAGGTTCTGAGTTCAATTCCCAACAACCACATGGTGGTTCACAATCATCTATATAATGAGATCTGGTGCTCTCTTCTCACAGACAGGCTCACATGCAGGCAGAACACTGTATACATAATAAATAAATCTTTTAAAAAAAGTCAGAATTCTGTTAAAATCTGATCACATCTTCTACAAAACTGATACTCAGTTCAATGGTAAGATCTTGACTTTAAATAATTCTAATGTTTCTTTCTAATAAAGTGAAAGTAGGTAAGTATCTCTGAAGATGCCTATGCAAAATGCCAAAACACTGTGTTAAGAATGCTGATACACGGGCTAGAGAGATGGCTCAGAGGTTAAGAGCACTGACTGCTCTTCCAGAGGTCCTGAGTTCAATTCCCAGCACCCACATGGTGGTTCACAACCATCTACATGTAATGAGATCTGGTGCCCTCTTCTGTGTACATAATAAATAAATAAATCTTAAAAAAAAAAAAAGAATGCTGATACACAATCCAACAATCACCTTTACTGAAGCACAGCTTATACACAATAAAGTTTACTGATTACAAGCACAGGTTAATAAGTATTTTTAACATTTTGTCTTTAGACATCTGTGTGTCTGTGTGCTATGGAGCACATGCAGAGGTCAGAGGACAACACACAGGAGTCAGGTTTCTCCTTCCAATATGTGAATCCTAGGGACCCAACTCAGGTCATGAGGATTGGTGGTGAGTACCTTTACACACTTGAGCAACCTCTCCGGTACTAGTCTGTGATAAGCACTGATGAATGTGCTTATTCATGTAGCCACTGCCACAATCACAATCACTCCAGGATAGATCCCTCATGCTCCTTCAGTCAATGAAAAACCACTTAACTGCTTTCTATTGCTATGGCATGGATTTGCACGATTCTACCTTGACTCTTCTTAAAAGAAACATTTATTTTACTTTTCTAGTGTTAATTTTCTTTTTTTTAAAAAAATGTTTGTAATTAAAATAGAACTACATAACTTTCCTCCCCTCCAGGCCCAATTCCTCTCCAAAGCTTCTTTTCCTTTATTGTTTTGGGAGGGGGGGTGGCGCACGAACACTTGTGCGTGCGTGTGTGTGTGTGTGTGTGTGTGTGTGTGTGTGTGTGTGTGTATACACATGTTTGCATTCTGCTTCTGCTGTGTGTGTGCATATTGTTTCAGGGCTGACCTCTCTGCACTGAGCAACCAATAAGAGAGTTCAACTCTGGGAGAAGCTAATTCTCCTTCTTCCAGCAGTCATTAGTTGCCTGTAGTTCCGTCTTGGGGTGGGACCCCACAAAATTTCTCTCCTTCCGCATTACTATGTACATTGAGAGTGTTCTGGCCTTACTTATGCAGCCATTTCTAGGGGAGACAGTCTATCATGAATCTTAATCCTCCTGCTTCTCATAATGTTCTCTAGTAGTAACTTTAAGGAAGGCCAGGCTGGGTTACATGAAACCCTTCCTCAAACAGAACAAGACAAAACAAAACCAAGCAAACAAAACTACTGCGAAACTAAACAAACAAAAAAGCCACAAGCAGCCAAGAAGTCTTGGATTTTGCAATTGTCCAATAAAGACAGATATTTGTACTTTTGAGTATCAATGTCTATACATAATAAAATACTAATTCTGAATTATCTTAATTTTTGGTTTTCATTCATCTCTCCTTTGGGAATTTCCTTAATTTGACTCACATTACACTGTAACTCCAGGTCCTTAGCAACTGTGCAGAAATCAAACGGCCTGACATAGTAAATATTTTAAACTTAGGAATGGGTACAGACACTAACAGAATTTACTCTTTATTGTGGAAGCATTATAGAAGTCTATAAAGTGAAATAAACATTATTAAAGACATAGTACCTAACTATTCAAAAATGCTGTTACATTACCAAACAAGACTTATATAATTCATCATCTTGCCAGGCAGTGGGGTGTACTCCTTTAATCCGAGCACTAGGGAGGTAGAGGCAAGCCGATCTCTGAGTTCGAGGCCAGCCTGGTCTACAGAGTGAGTTCCAGGACAGTCAGGGATACACAGAGAAACCTTGTCTTGAAAACGAAAAAACAAACAAACAAAAATTTATCATCTTATAAGCGCCGTAGTACCAGAGCTGGAGGGATGACTCAGTGGTTAAGAGCATTGACTGCTCTTCCAGAGGATCGGGGTTCAATCCCCAGCACCCACATGACTGCTCACAACTGTCTGTAACTCCAGTTCTGGGGTCCTGACACCCATGGCAAAACACCAATGCACATTAAAAAAAAAAAGCGCCACAGTGGCACAGCAGGCATTATGGGAACACAGCAGGGGCTCTGCTGGCTGAGGTGGAGATGGAAATATTTCACTATGTTTTTGTCAAGGAATATGGAAAATGGGGCTGGAGAATTCACTCACTCAGTTAGAACTTGCTGCTCTTGCAGAAACCCTGTGTTCGGTCCAGCCCCCACATGGTGGCTCATAAACAACTGTAACTCCAGCTACAGAGGATGTGACACCCTCTTCAGATCTCTGTGGCCAACAGCACGCATGAGGTCCATGCATGTACATACATACATGCAGGCAAAACACACACACATAAAAATAAAATAAACCTAAAAATTATTTTTAAAGGAGTAAGGAAGCAACCATCAAAATCTCAATACTGATGGTGAATTTGGTACAAAAAACGTTGGATAAGAGTCCTGAGCCTACAGTTAAATACGGGGTCAGCTAATTTTTAACCAAGGACCAAATTCTTAGTTATTTCTTATTGATCAGGAAGTAATAAGTGCTACTCATAGAAAACTGAATTACTTAAAATACTATGTAATGTTTACTTTAGTACTGACTTGGGAAAAAAGATTCTTACGAATTATTGATATGTAATATGAAGAACACCTCAAAAGAGAGAAAAACAACACAAATTGAAGACAGTATATATATCTAGGTGAAACAAACAAAACACATTTCTGACCACGTCATGACTTTGAGAGAAGAGACAAGATTGGGAAGTAAGTCATTTTGATAGCCACCTACTGTCTGTTTCAACACTGAGAGTAATGGGAGCAGACAAGTGAACTGACAGTTTAACCGAAAGCTGAGCAACAGCTGGCTCACTGTCAAAATAAAAATGATAATACAAATGAAAAGTGCACCCACTTCCTATTGCTGTGCAAAAAAATGATCACAAACCAAGCAGCTGAAAACAATGTCTCTTTATCATCTCCTGGGTTCCCTGATTCGGATAGGTGTATGATTTAAGGCAGGTATATTTAGCTGTCAGCCAGGGCTACATTCATATGTGAGGCTCAGGATCTCAGAGCTCACTGGTTCTAGGGAGTCCATTTCCCCTTAGCTGTTGGCTAGAGATCACTGTTGTAATCCAGAAGTCATCCACACTTTCTTGCCATGCCCATGTTTGCTCCCTTCCAGGTTGGGGGTGGTAGATTTATTTCCCTCCACGTCTTTTCCCTTCCCTGACTACTCAATAACGAGTGCTACTTACAGCTCAAGGGGAGAGAACACAAGGTGACAGACACACTAGGCAGGGATCCCAGAGGCTGTCTCAGGATTCCGCTTACCAGTCTAAGTATAGGCTGGTACTTTTCAAAATGAGTAGGGGAAGTAGAAGACAGAACAAAGATGGGCAAAGACATTCTGATCTGAGCCCTTGGAGAAAAGCTCTAGGCACTGAAAATAAACTCAGAAAAGTTAACTTGCCAAGGTACAGGGTCAGACTTGCTCAAAGGGAATGTGTGAACTCAAGAATCTAGGTAAATGGCTGTTCAGGCAATTGGTTATCCAGGTGAATGAATGCAGCAGAGGTGCTAGTGGAACAGAGGAGGAGAAAAGAACCAGTGCAAAGACATGAGGGTCAGTAGGCAACACACACAGGAAATTAGTTCTGCTCTTCAGCTTAAGTAGGGCAGGGAGAGCATGCAGGGGGTGGGTACCGGTATCCTGGAGAGTCTAGCAGTGACCAATTAAAATCTTCTGGGAACGTAATTTTCAAGGTTACATAAAAAATTCTAATGAGCATATCTGATTTTGTATTTAATTTGTGAGATTCCCCTGAAAGGAACTGTATTACAACCTTCACATGAAAGTTTTAACTTTTATAAATGTCACATATTAATTAATTAGCTATCAAATACACAGAGGTAAGGAATCACATATTAACTAATTAATAGCTATCAAATACACAGAGGTAAGGAATAAATCAGAATGCTAGATAAACATTATCAGTATGCCAAGAAAGCAATGCAGCTGGCTATAAAGACTTTAGAGAATGAGATGAAATTGGGGACAGACAAGAGGAGTGTGGCTCCATGGGTATCAAATGCCTACCTTCACTTCACCGCTTCCACCAGCCCTTAAAACATTCCTCCATCCTTGTTCCCTGGCCCTATTTATTCTCTCCAACTTTCAGGGGAAAAGAAATAAACAAAATACCATTTCAACTACTTAATATAAAACACATAGAATACATTTAGCAATAAAATTCAATCAGTGTACTTTCTTTACAATCATGTGTGGGGAGGGAGAAGTGCACTGTGGGGATGGAGGCTCCTCTTACCCGCTGCTTCTCTTGCCTCTTCACCTGCTCGGCCTTTAGGAAACTAATCTGTAACAATCAGACACACTCTCAGAGCCAGGTCTTACATCTGCACCGAGGCAAACGGAGAAGAACAAGACCAAAAGCTACCTGATCCCTGTGCTTCTTCTCTTTCTCAATAAATTCCAACCTTCTTTTTTTTGCGGCTTCCTGAAACAAAAGGAGAACACTTCTATCAACAATTTCTGCTTGTTTATTTTTTCATCAAGCAAGTGTATCAACAAGAGAGGTATACCCAAAGAGATGAGGAGAATTAAAGTCTGAACAAAACAAAGATGTTTGAGTATGTGCTTCAGAGAGACAAGGCAGAAAACTTCAGAGGCTCTACAACAGTGGTTCTCAATTTGTGGGTCATGACCCCTGGGGTTAAACGGCCTTTTTACAGGGTATGCCTAAGACCATCAGAAAACACAGATATTTACATTACAATTCATAACAGTAGCAACATTACAGTTATGAAGTAACAAAGAATTTCATGGTGGGGGTCAGCACAAGAAACTGGATTAAAGGGTCACAGGGTCAGGAAGGTGGAGAACCACTGCTCTATAATGTTAGTGGCTTCTGCTGTTGTCATAGGAACTGTTTTGTAAAGCTTTAAAATAAGCAGATATATGTCTTTATACCTCAAACATCTTCCTCCTTTCTTCTCCAGAATTCATTTTCTTCACTGGAATTTGATGGGCCTAAACAAAAAGTAAAGCTACAAATTAGATATAGATTTAAGATGCTCTTTGGAAATTACAAAAACATTCTATGGAAGTTTAAAGAAAGAAAAGGTAAAGCCAATACAGTCATAACTCTTTCAAATGGATTAGATTTGGAAAGACACTACTCTTTGATATGCCCCTTCCTAAACAACCTAGAACACGACACTCAAACATGGAATGGAGTTCCTTATCACCAACTAGTTTGTCTTCACACACATATTTTTAAAATATTTGTACTTAATGAGAATTTCATTAATGTATATAGTATATTTTAAACATGTACACCCCCAATTCTCATCTCCAACATGTCTTTGATCCCACCCCCAACCATGATTTTGATCATGTACACTTCTCCCCACCAACTCCTCCTGGATGCCCCCCTCAAAACACACACTTCTCTCAATTTCCTGTCCTTTTCGTTTTTATAACTGAGTCCAAATGTCCATATATGAATAGGTGTGGGGTTATCCCATGAAGCATCAGCAACATACTAGGGGCACACACCCAAAGAAAAGTGACTCCCTCCTCCAGCAGCCATCAACCTGCTAGTATTTCCTCAACTAGGGATGGGGCCTCATGAGCTACTCCACCAAGGGATGCTAATTTAAACATTCTAATACTACAATGAAACATCACTTTGAAAGCCCAAAATAAATATATTTTTTTAAAAATAAATTATACAATATATGTTCACTACATAAAACTCAATAAAAATTCGTAGCTGCTTCACTCTTGGAGATAATCAGTATCGATATTTTCATGAGCATCCTTCTAGACAGTTTTACAATCTCACATACATACATATATAAATATATATACTCATATATATTTTACATTTTTTATAAAATGTGTTATTTGAAAGCAGAGTATTTTTTTTAAAAAGATTTATTTTATTATGTATACAGTGTTCTGCCTGCACATATGCCTGCAGGTCAGAAGAGGGCACCAGATCTCATTATAGATGGCTGTGAGCCACCATGTGGTTGCTGGGAATTGAACTCAGGACCTCTGGAAGAACAACCAGTGTTCTTAACCGCTGAGCCATCTCTCCAGCCCGCAAAGTATTTTTAATAATGTGTCTTGACAATTCCACATTATGGTAATAATTCACCACAATGTGGTAATAAATTAACAAGGAAATAGTCTAGAATTAATTTATTTAACCATTATTCTGGGGATAGATTTTGGGTTGATTTTAAAATCTTAAGTTTAAAACTTAAGTTTTCCTATTCTATATGCTGTAAGGAACTTTTATATATATATATATATATATACCTCCTTGTGTCATACTCAAGTCTCCCAGAAGAGCAATTTTTAAAAAAAGAAGTGGAATTAAAGATTAACATAATTTATATTTTGAGAACTATGACCTCCCCAAAGGCTGCACCAATTTATATTCCACCAAAGAACGTAGAAAACTCAGGTTCTCACATGGATTGTCCATCTCTCTTAACTTCTGCTCCTACAAAGGCTAAGAATATTTCCTTTTACATACTTACTGTCCACATAATCTCAGATAAATTCTTGGTATATCATGTTTATTATAGCTGCTGTTTTTTAATTCAGTTACAATTATCAGTTTTCCTTTATGGTATATGTTAATACTATATAGCTAAAAAAGACATTTTTAATTTTAGCAAATATTCTACTTATTTAAATTATTCTTTATTTTGACACCCTCCACAGCTAAACTCCATGGAGCTATTAGCACTAGCTTCAAAATCTGTACACCACAAAAATCAAACCATTAAATAGTATTAATGTTAATGACCTAGTGGTGCACATCTACAATTTTAACTTTCAGGAAAATAAGTTCAAGGACACCCTGAGAGACTGAAGGAAAAAGGGGGGAGAAGAATTAACGTAGTAAGAGCTCTGTGGTATGAATGCCTCGCTTACCAATTTGACCTGTTACTGTGTTCTGTGGAGCACGGAGGACATGATGGGGTTGAGGCCCTCCTTCACCCATTATGTGGGCTGCAGAGAGCAAAGGCAGGCTGTCAGCTTTTGCTGAAAGCACCTTCCTTCACCTGCTGAGTGAGGCTCAGCCCAAGGAAACGGCCTTAGTCCAAGAGGAGGATGTTTAAGAGGTAAGTTACATGGAAGCAAAGACTATACTCCTCTTGATCTTCTCTATCACCTTACATAGAGACTATTCAAGTATTTATGGGATAAAAATTCCAGCTGTTCCTCTGAGAGAGTCTGAGCATTTTCAGAATGTTATTACTATACCGAAGAGATAAACAGAAACACTGTACTAAGGAAATTGTTTTGTTTTCTGTCACTCAAAAAATAAGCAAAACAAAAATGAGCCCAAACACTGAAACGTGTTCCCGGAGCTCCCTCTGGTGGTGGTATAGGACCAGCAGCCTTCAAGAAAAACAACAATAAAAAAACCTACCAACAGGAACAACAAAATTACAACACGCACTAGCTTAAATTTATCTGAATAAACATGATATTATTATATTAGGATATATTATAATATATATTAGTGATCATTCTCAAGCTGAAAAATTTAAAACACACATAAACTATTGTAAATTTGAATATAAAAGATGCTTTATACTTCTTGGGGGAACGGTCTTTAATTTAAAAAGGAATCATTCAAGGAAACAACAAGGATTTATTTAATATCTCAGCCAGGGTTCTAGCCAACACTTTCTCAGCTCTTCGGGAACAAAGAAGGAGCAAGCATTCCAGCAAAGTTGAGGAGACACTGAAACCCTGCTTCAAAAGCCTAAACCGCTCCAGAACTGGGGTTTCTTTTCACTCCATTCCTGTGTTATGGCTTTGATAATTTCTACCTATTTGATTGCTGTGCCTTTACTTTTTTCTATCAATGTTTGAAATTTTCATAATTTTCTTTTATTGTCATAAAATGTACCTTATAAAATCATTTTTACCACTTTAAGTGTGTTCACTCTGTTGAACAGTGAATTTGCATTAGGTTAAGTGCTTTAAAAATAAGTTATGGCACATTCCAAGTGCTGATTACTATTTAGTTTTCAAAAGATTAGAGAAGAAAATTTAAAAAGCAATGACCTTGCCTATGGCCTAAAAGCCTGTATCTATCATCTGAGCCACTTTTCCGTTACTCAGACTACGAGAGGTGGAGTCTATCATTTGGATATCGATAGTAGGAATCCAAAATTCCCAGAGCATGCAGTTCATTTATATCGACTATTAACTGAAAATGAAGACAACATATTATGTGATTCCGTCAGCTATACAAAGACACTGATTATACACTGGGTTTCTTTTCAGTCCTAGTCAAAAGTAAGGGACCTTCCACAATGTCATTAATTCAGCTCACCATTTCCTTCATTCTCAAAGAATAGTGTGTGACCAATCGACACAACACTATTTTTGCAAGTTCACCTAAGTGTGTATTTCTTTTTGTGATTGTTCTATGTGATATCTACCTAATTGCATAAAGATAAGTATGTTTGCCCTCTTACCCCATGGCCAACATTAGTTTTAGCCCCAAGAAATCAGACAAGTTATGCATGTCTATATTAGAAGTGTTAAACATGGGTTGCAAATATAAACAACATTTGGAATGACTACATGTCTTGAAAATTATCTACAAATTAACATTTTTAAAATCTAATTAGAAGAAATGAAAATGTCTGTAAAGAAATTTTGGTATGGAACATATATTTTTTTTAAAAAAAAATCTATTTATTCATCATGGTATCTCCCTCTCCGTTCTCCCACTCTGCTCCTGATTGAGCTGAGACCTCCTGCTCCCCTAAGCTCTCTTTCCCCCACCCTTCCCCTCCATTACCCCCCCACCCCCAGTTTGCTCATGTAGATTTCATCCATTTCTCTGTCGTTGGGCAGTCCCTGTGTCTTTCTTAGGGTCTTCTTTACTAGGTAGCCTCCCTGGAGTTGTGAGTTGCAGTCTGGTTATCCTTTGCTTTACATCTAGTATCCACCTATGAGTGAGCACATACCATGTTTGTCTTTCTGAGTCTGGGTTACCTCACTCAGATGATTTTTTTCTAGTTCCATCCATTTGCCTGCAAACCTCATGATGTCATTGTTTTTCTCTGCTGAGTAGTACTCCATTATGTATATGTACCACATTTTATTTATCCATTCTTCAACTGAAGGGCATCTAGGTTGTTTCCAGGTTCTGGCTATTACAAATAATGCTGCTATGAACATAGTTGAGCATGTGTCCTTGTGGCATGATTGAGCATTGCTTGGGTATATGCCCAAGAGTGGTATAGCTGGGTCTTGAGGGAGGTTGATTCCCAATTTTCTAAGAAAGCACCATATTGATTTCCAAAGTGGCTGTACAAGTTTGCATTCCCACCAACAGTGGAGGTGTGTTCCCCTTGCTCCACATCCTCTCTAACATAAGCTGTCTTCAGTGTTTTTGATCTTAGCCATTCTGATGGGTGTAAGATGGTATCTGAATCCTTTTGATTTGCATTTCCCTGATGATTAAGGATGTTGAGCAATTCCTTAAATGTCTTTCAGCCATTTGAGCTTCTTCTGTTGAGAATTCTCTGTTTAGCTCTATAGCCCATTTTTTAATTGGATTGTTGGGTATTTTGATGTCTAATTTCTTGAATTCTTTATATGTTCTGGATATCAGTCCTCTGTCAGATGTGGGGTTGGTGAAGATCTTTTCCCATTCTGTAGGCTGTCGCTTTGTCTTGTTAACCATGTCCTTTGCCCTACAAAAGCTTCTCAGTTTCAGGAGGTCCCATTGATTGTTTCTCTCAAGTGTCTGTGCTACTGGTATTATATTTAGGAAGTGATCTCCGGTGCCAATGCGTTCAAGACTACTTCCTACTTTCTCTTCTATCAGGTTCAGAGTAACTGGATTTATGTTGAGGTCTTTGATCCACTTGGACTTAAGTTTTGTGCACAGTGACAGATATGGATCTACTGGCAGTCTTCTACATGTTGACATCCAGTTGTACCAGCACCATTTGTTGAAGATGCTTTCTTTTTTCCATTATATAGTTTTGGCTTCTTTGTCAAAAATCGTATGTTCATAGGTGTGTGGATTAATGTCAGGGTCTTCAGTTCGGTTCCACTGGTCCACATGTCAGTTTTTATGCCAGTACCAAGCTGTTTTTATTACTGTAACTCCATAGTAGAGCTTGAAGTCAGGAATCATGATGCCTCCAGAGGTTGTTTTATTGTACAGGATTCTTTTGGCTATCCTGGGTTTTTTGTTTTTCCATATGAAATTGAGCATTGTTCTTTCCAGGTCTGTGAAGAATTGTGTTGGGATTTTGATGGGGATTGCATTGAATCTGTAGATTGCTTAAGACCCCAGGTAAATAGAAAGAAGCAGATGCTAGAGAGGTCCCCAGAAATCCACAAAGATACCTCCACTGTAGACTACTGGCAATGGTCGAGAGAGAGCCTGAGCTGACCTGCTCTGGTGATCAGACAGCCAAACACCCTGGCTGTCATGATAGAACTCTCATCCAAGTGTCTGATGGAAGCGGATGCAGAGATCCACAGCTGAGACCCAGGTGGAGCTCCAGGAGTCCAATCGGCAAGAGAGAGGAGGGATTGTATGAGCGAAAGATATTGTGGCCAGGATTGGAAAAAGCACAGGGACAAATAGCCAAACTAGTGGAAATGCATGAACTGTGAACCAATGTTTGAGGAGCCCCCATGGAACTGGACCAGGCCCTCTGGATAAGTGAGACACTTTATTAGCTTGAACTGTTTGGGAGGCCCCCAGGCAGTGGAGCCAGGACCTGTCCTCAGTGCATGGGCTGGCTTTTTGGAGCCTGGGGCCTATGCTGGGACACTTTGCTCAGCCTTGGTGTAGGGAGGAGGGGACTGGACCTGCCTTGGCTGAGTCTACCAGGCTGGACTGACTCCCCAGGGGTGTCCTTGCCTTGGAGGAGGTGGGAATGAGGGGTAAATTGGGGGGAAAGCTGGGGGGTGGGAGGAGGGAGGACAGGGGAATCCGTGGCTGATATGCGAAATTAAGTTAATTATAAAATAAAAATATTTAAAAAAATAAAGATTTATTTATTTAGTATGTATACAGTGTTCTGCCTGCATGTATGCCAGAAAAGGTCACCAGATCTCATTATAGATGGTTGTGAGCCACCATGTGGTTGCTGGGAATTGAACTCAGGACCTTTGGAAGAGCAGTCAGGGCTCTTAACCTCTGAACCATCTCTCCAGCCCAGAACATATATTTTTTAAAAAGCTTATTTACAGCAATGAAGTCAACTGATTTCATATCAATAAAATACAATATAATCATGATGATCACAAATAAAAAACCACAAAATTTAGTTTAAAAAATATACTGTTTGGATACCAGAAATGTGTTTCTTTCTTCTTTTATTCTTTATAGTTGTTAAAAGCACACTAAGTCAATTTCAAATTTTCAAAATACTTGATGGAAAAAATGACATCATGATTACACTAAAATAAGTTCAAGTACCAACCCGCTTCGCTAAAAGTCAATTGTCGTCACCCAAATTAGGTACGTATGCAAATAATCTATTTCAAAGTTGTTTTATGTACTACTCTATAAAATAGTTACTGTAAAACATTAACAATAAAATCTCTGGATGAGGCAGGCAGATCTCTGTGAGTTCTAGGTCAGGTTGTCTACAAAGTGAGTCCCCGGACAGCCAGGGATATACAGAGAAACCTCATCTCAAAACAAAACAGAAACTACCAAAAATGTTGAGGTGGGAAGATTAGGGTATGATCAGAGACACAGACATAGGGAATTTAAAGACCAAAAAACTAGGGAGAGTCTTCAGTCCTAGGTTTCCTACGATGACCAGAGAGAGAAAAAGATAGGACGGTGTTGACTGCTGAAGAAATGGAGTCAACAAATGATAAAGCCACATGCCAGTCACACTCCCTGTGCACAGCCCTGCTTCCGCTAGTACAGCTGGGCAGGGAGCCATTTCCTTTGCTCATGAACACATTAGCAGTCGATGGAGGAGCAATACTACAGAAGGAACGAAAGAGCATCTTTTTCCGCCCAGTGCTTCCTTTCTGCTTGCAGCATGTGGGAACACAGTACAGTAGCACTCACTCCTGCAGGCACCTTGCAGACGTTGTGCCTATATCCTGCCAGGTTCCATCTGAATTTCAGCAGTACTCCAAAGACAGCTTCCTACAGAGTTCTGCTGGTGTCCAGTTAGCTCCCCAGAAAGCTTAGCAGCACTAGTCATATTCCGCCTGCCTTCCGGGAGGCTTCTCAGAGTCAGCTACCTAGGTGGCTTCTTGGTACACTTTACTGACATCCAGACAGCCTTCCGTTCTGTGGTAGATAGAACGGCACTTTACCAGTGCCAGACTGTGGGAACTCAGTGGACGGATGTCATTACAAATAGGTTTATAGCTATGCCCTACCCAAATAAGATCTGAATTAACGTCCCTGAATTAAATTTTTGTTCTTTGAATATTCTCTTAGTACTAGTAGTGGCAGCTGATTCCTGTATCTGCCATTCCTATACAATATTCCTCAATACCCACTTAATGGCTAATTCCTAAAATTAGCTAATAATGATTTACATTAAAATTTCCATATTCAAATTCCAAATAAAAAGTGCCAATGTCCTGCAACTAATACCATGATACCAGTCAAGTAACTCAGTGCTTTAGGTCATAATTTTTTTTAGTCTGAAATGGGAACCTGTCACCACATATGATCATATTCTTTATATAGTTCTAAGATTTTGATTTGACTGTGAGTTCTGAAATATACAAATTTCTTGGTGTTTTAGCAACAATATCACAGGTACTTCTTACAATATCACTTACTTCTATGCAAACAATTGAGTGTTTCAAGGAGGACTTCATTTATAATGCTACCTTTTGTATTATACTCGTTTACTCAATGTATCTACTTAATGGTTGTCCACTGCTTCTGTAAGGCTCCTAAGTTAGAGAGGATGGAGGAAGCAGAGCAACATTCCTTAATAAGGAAACAAAGACTAATCTGAGTGTCAAGGTGACTCATGGAGCTGTTATTACACAGGGTCAAACTGAACTTGATAGTAATCAGTTTGTAAAATGATCTTACCTGTTTATGTTTGGGGGGTGATTTTCTCTCAAGTAACTTTTTATCTCCATACTTCTTATGTGTTAAAGGCACTCCGTATTTAGCAGCAGGCTTTGTGATTTTCTGAGCAGGGACAAGAGAAATAGAGCTGTGCCCTGATGCTGGTCTTTTACCTGCATGAAAAGACAATTCTTTTTCAGTAGTTCTTTATACTGAATTTTTAATTCCAAAAATCTTCAAGAATGGTACTTTCATTGATGACCTTACAAACTTTTAACCAAATGTTTTTTCCATCCATTAATAAATATCAACACTTCAAGTACTTTACATTGAAAGTATCTTTTTTTTAATTATAAAGAAATAAGACTAACTCCAAGATAATAGCACTTGTAAAATACACACAAAAAGAAGAATCTTCTAGTTTTAAGAAGGTAGCTCCAAAGGTAAGTGCTTTGCTCACGAGCATGAGGACTGAGTTGGTCCCTGACATCCACATAAAAAAAATCAGAGTGGTGGTGTGCAATTATAAACTCCTCAATGGGGAAGCAAGAGACAAGCAGATCCCTGGGGCTTGTTGGCCAGCCAGCATAACCTAATGGTTAGCTCTATGCCAGTGAAAGATATTTCTGAGGATGACAGCTGAAGCTGTTCTTTGGCATACATTCAGGTTCACATACGTGCCCACACAGGTACCCTTTCACATGGACACACACACACACGTTGCCGAATATTATTTTAAGGTGTGTAACTTTTGCTTATGTTACATTTGTTTAACTCCATGAAGCTGTTACTGTGCCTGTGTAAAACACCTGATGGTCTAGTAAAGAACTGGCCAATAGCAAGGCAGGAGAAAAGATAGGCAGGGCTGGCAGGCAGAGAGGATATATGGAGAGAGAAATCTGGGAAGAGAGAAAGAAAAGAGACGGAGGAGTGAAAGAAGAAATAGCCAGAGGAGGAGGAAGACTCTAGGGGCCAGCCACCCAGCTACACATCAAGCTATGGAGTAAGAGTAAGACTTACAGAAGTAAGAGAACATAAAAAGCCCAGAGGCAAAAGGTAGATGGGATAATTTAAGTTAAGAAAAGCTGGCAAGAAAATAAGCCAAGCTAAGGCCAGGCATTCATTAAGAATAAGCCTCCGTGTGTGAATTATTTGGGAGTCGGGTGGCAGGCTCCCCCCAAAAGAACAAAAAGACCAAAGACCAACCAACAACAGACTGGTGCTATTGGGATTAATCCATAAAGTCTATTTAATAATCAAAGGAATTTATTAAGGGGTTAACTCACAAGACAGTACAAAGGAATTTCTCGCAGGATTTTGGAAGGGTGAGGCAATGTCCAACGTGGTTCTCTGGCGAGCTCTGCCCTGCTCCATACCAGCATCCAAAACCACAAGGTAGCAAAGCGAAGAGAGCCACATATGTGCACCCCACCACCACCACACCCAGGGGCTTGTACCTCACCCAGGGGCTTGTACCTCAAGGTCATAGGCAGGTGTAACAGCTACCTGCTACCTTACTAGGGGCAGTGCTTCAGGGCATGGCTCAAACCACTACCCACCTCACAGCACCCCAGGTTGGGTGCCAACTGTCCTTTTTTAAATTGTTCCTGCCTTTTAAGCCACAGCTGTCCAAATCAGCAACTGTAACTCTGCCGCTACTCAGGCCACAAGGGCCCATAGCCTGAAGGAATTCTGTTCCCTCCAGCTCTAACTCTTGCAAAGCTACAAAGAGAACTTAACTAAACCTCTGTCCCTCTAAAGAACTCAAGATTCAAAGGTTAAGGTGGAATTATGCTCTTTAGAGATGCTGACCTCCTCTCCTTGCTCACATCCTCCAAAAAGCCCTCATGCTTCTCCTAGCCCCACCTTATAAACCCATTTTCCCTGGTTCCTCCCTACCACTTCCTGTCAGCTAGTTGCTGACTCAGCTTCCTGACCACAGGTGAGTTTTATTTAATCAAACACATCTTTGCATAAATAAACAAACGTTCCAGAGCATAAACAATAATATTCTACAACACACGCACGCACACACGCACCTATGGAGCACAGTAGCAGCTATCTGTAAATATACTAAAAAAATCGAGTTGTCTGAATAAATTGTACAGTATGAGAATTATAGGATGCATTACATACATGTATGAAACTGTCAAAGAGCTTAATAACTTAACAAAACACCCCTCAACTTCAATAAAAAAAATAATATTGCAAGTCAAATAGTCTGTATATCCCTACCCCTTCCCCAACCCTTTCTCTTCCATTTCCCTCCTCTGTACGGTCACTTCTGGTTGTCCCCCATAGCCTGAGGAGCAGCTTTCTTGCTTTCATACCACTCTCTAACTCAGGATTTTTGTCATGTGCTAACACAATTTAAAGCAATCCCTTACAAGTATTCATTTTTAGGAGGAAAATAAAAATATTAAATAGTAGTTCACAATGAAAAGCTACTATTAAACTCAAAGAAAAAATTATTTGAAAATGTTCACTATATTATATTGTGTACAAAAAACTGTTTATATTCTCAAACTCATTGTGCATATGCTATGACAAGAAAAATATACCAAATGTGAAAGTATATATTAAAATTGAAGTAATTTTTCTTTTAAAAAATCCCTATAAACACACATTATTCATATTTAGTCAACTCTTATCAAACTGTGCTGGCTAGTTTTATGCCAACTTGACACAGGCTGGAGTCATTTTGGGAAAGGGAACCTCAACTGAGAAAATGCTCCCACTATACTGGGCTGTGGGCAAGCCTCTCTTTCATTTTCTTGATTGATGTGGGAGGGCCCAGCTTACTGTGGGCCGAGACACCTCTGGGCTAGTGGTACTGAGAACTATAAGAAAGTAGCTTACATAAGCTATGGAGAACAAGCCAATAGGCAGCATGCCTTCATGCCTTCTGCAATAATTCCTGCCTCCAGGCTCCAGTTCTGTTTTAGTTCCTGCCCTTCCTCAATAGAGGGTGGACTGTGATGTGGAAATATAAGGGAAATAAATCCTTTCCTCCCTAAGTTGTTTGGTTATTGTGTTTTATCACAGTAGTAGGAAACCCTAAGATAGAAAATATTATTAGTCATTGGGTGTCATGGTAGAGATTCAGAAGCAATTTATATTGATAATAATGTGATACTCTATGATAGGGTAAAGTTTTTCCAAAGCATCTTAATCCATAAACTAGGAAGTATGAGGAATTCAACCATATGATCAAATTAGAACAGAGCTTTAAGAAGTCACAATTCTGTAGCTTGACTAATTTTATCAAAACAATAAAAGAGCTCAGTCCACATCTTTAACCTCAGAGGCAATTGGATCTCTGTGAGTTCAAAGCCAATCTGCCTATAGAAAAAAGATCCCCCTGCATTAAAAACAAAACAAAACAAAAAACCAAACAAACAAACCGAATAAACAAAAAACAAAAGGAAGTGCTATGTACACCAGAAAAAAGGACTGGAGGCACCAGGCCTAGAGATGAATGTTCTCAAGAGAAAGACGTGATTGTTCCCACCTCACCTTATGACTTCTCAGCTTCCATGTCAAGGACACATCTAGCATAATTAAGGTGGTGGAACCCACAAAGCATTTGCAAGCCCATCTGTAACACCGTTCTTATTTCACTCCTATATTACTGACTATTTCATTTATCCAGTTCCTTATACAACAACTTTTTCCTTCCTAGTTCCAACACAGGTTTACTAAATATAAAGAATGTGATGATCACCATTTAAGTCCTGGGTTTAATCCCTAGCACTTTAGAGGGGAAAATCTAAATACAGCTGGCCTTCCTGAGTACACATTGCTGTACCATTTCCAGTTTACGTGAGTTGTTTTTATAATATGTTATTTTTTTTATCAATTTATCCAAATTCAAAATGTAGAGCACCATGTTTTGTACTGTTCCAAAATAGAGTGAAAGGAGAGAAATTTATGCAGGAACAAAGATGTGTGTGCATGCATAACAAATGAAACATACACAATACTACAATATTCTATTGTCAATGGACAAAATTAAAATGAAGCCTACCTTTAGTAAAATGGTTGCCCTCCTAATAATTTACTTTAAAAAAATTTTAAGTATAAAACATTTCTCAAAGAAAAATGTTTTACATAAAGATCTACACCTTAGTGGGGCATTTGATAACATTCTAGACAATACTCTCAAAACATCAACTAAGATTTGATAAATTTTCAAGTAAGATTTCATCTAAGTAAGACAGAAAACACAAACTTTGTCAATGATTTATTATGTATAACTAAATGTAAGAGCTTTAACATTTATTTCCTTTAGATTAAATTTAGTCTATAACCATCCTAATTTATTTTCTCTATCTGTATTTATTTGTAGTACATATAATCTTGAGTATTGCAAACAGATGAAAAGTTTCATGTCAAACATAATTTACCTGGTATAGGCTGTGGTCCAAACTTTGAAAATGTTTTTAGACAAAATTCTTCTGCAATAAGCTTAGATTGAAAGAGAGAGAGAAAAAAAAAATGTTAAAAAGATATCACCTCTGAAGTGTAGTGGTGCACACCTTAGTCCCAGCACTCTGGAGGCAGAGGCAGGTGGATCTCTGAGTTGGAGGGCAGCCTGGTCCACAGAGTGAGTTCCAGGACAGCCAAGGCTACATAGTGAAATTCTGTCTCAAAAAACCAAACCAAACAAAAACAAGTCAGTTTTCTAAGCAAAGAAAAATGACCCATCAATCACAATGTATTTCTTTCTTTCTTTCATAACAAATGAAACATACACAATACTACAATATTCTATTGTCAATGGACAAAATTAAAATGAAGCCTACCTTTAGTAAAATGGTTGCCCTCCTAATAATTTACTTTAAAAAAATTTTAAAGTCTTTCTTTACAGTCATAAAGATGTTAATAAACTGAATAATTAAAATCCAGTAATCCAACCAGCAGATTCTCCTCTTGCTACCCATCTACACCCCTGGTAATTTTTTTTTCCTTTTTTTGGTTTTTTTTTTTTTTTTTTGGTTTTTCGAGACAGGGTTTCTCTGTGTAGCTTTGCGCCTTTCCCGGAACTCGCTTTGGAGACCAGGCTGACCTCGAACTCACAGAGATCCGCCTGGCTCTGCCTCCCAAGTGCTGGGATTAAAGGCGTGCACCACTGCCGGCTGGTTACCCCTGCTAATCTTACTCACATATTTTTATGACTTCTCTAGTCTTTCATTCTCAAGCTAGACTAATACACAGCACATGGGTTATTGGCCTTTTCCATCTCTTAGTAACTTAACAAAACATCTATGGAGGGATCAATGTAGTCTATATGCATCCACAGCCCTCATTTATGTCAAAACCATTCAAGAGTCACTCCCAAAGACACTCTCCTGGAAACACCATTATTCTAAGTTTACTGTCAATCTCCTTACCACCTGCAATGAGTCCATACTCATCTGCAAACACGTCACTGGATACTTTTACAGTGTCTCTTTAAACATTAAACATTCCATTTCTGAATCTTCAACATTTATATTTCATGAAACAAGTATTTATATTTTTCATAAGTAATTTTCTCTTTTAACTAATTTTTTCCAGTGTAAAACTATGATATCAACCAAGATTTACCTCAAATAGAGTTTATTTTTATCTTATTGGTGGAGATCAAAATGCTAAGTGAATTTTATCATTTTTTTCTAGAGAAGTAAGGCACAGTGGAAAGAATATTCAATAGTAGACGACACATCCAGTAAGCACAAATCTCCAATCTGAGATGGTTTCTCTATAGATCCCCTATGGCAGCAGCACTCAAAGTCTCAGAACACCACCATCAATACTACCTGGTGTTAACAACACCTGAATTCTATGGATATGCCTCAATTACTGAAACAGAGGAGCGTAACAAGCTTCCTTGTCGGACTATCTTTGGATGGCCAGTCCCCAGATAACACAGAGACTGCTTATTAATTATGAAAGCTTGGCCTTTAAGTTAGGCTTGTCCTCAACTAGCTCTTATAACTCAAATTAACTTGCTTAATTAACCTATGTTCTGACACGTGGCTTTTACCTTTCCTCAGTATGTATGTCCAACTTGTACTGAGTCTGCTGGAAAAATCCTCATGCCTAGATTCCTCCTCTTCCTCTCTCTCCCCCTAGAAGTCTCACCTATCCTCTCCTGCCTAGCTGTTGGCCATTCAGCTCTTTATCAAACCAAGGTGCCTTGACAAAGACATCTTCACAGTGTACAAAATGAGTATCCCCAACAGAGATGGTAATGAACGAACCCAGCAAAGTCCTTCAGGAGACTGTGGGTGCTGCATTTATGAACTAGTGCAATAGAAGATAAACATGAGCACAAGTCTGGTTCAAAGGCAATTCAGGGCAAATCAGGCATCCTTTTTCTTTATGTTTCTCAGAAAAATAGAGGGATCTGTTCCATTTCCTGTGAAAATGGGCATTGACTCCAGCTTTGCACATGCTGGGGAAGCACTTTATCAGTGACCTAAATCCTGAGTCCTCTATATTGCATGCCAATGTCACTTCTTTGTTTTTAAAGCTTTTTATTTTGAGACAGGACTCATTATGTTGTCCAGGCTGCCTTGAACTTGAGAGCTTCCTGCCTCAAGAGTTCTTAAATAGCTGAGACTGTAGGATTGGATGCTAGGCCTGGTTCAATGATCATAAAACACCCTTCAACTTGCCTTCAAATTGAATAATTTCTTCAGTTCTTCAAATATGGATCTTTCTGTTCTCTATAAATGTTCAGATGAATTTAAAGATAGTACATACAGAATTCAAGAAGATTCTGGGATATTATGGGAAAGCTGTCCAATTTAAGAGCCATTACCAGTATGTGGCTACCTGAATTAAAACCTCACTTACCATTAAAAACTTAAAATTTAGTTCTTCAGTCACACTAGTCACATTCTAAGTATTCAGTAGGTGACCAGAAGCTGTAATGTTGGACTATTCAGATATAGAAGACTTTCATCCTCACAGAGAGCTCCACTAGACAGAGACTGTACTCCTAATGAAAATCTATCAGGATACAAGGATAAGGACTGGGCCCTAGTAATTTTTAATTTTGAAAGTACTATGGTTTCAAAAATGAAGTTGCCCTGTAACCCAGGAATTCACAAGGCTGAGGGAGAAGACTCATAGGTTTGCAGCAACGTGGTAAGAAAACGTAAATTTGTACAATATAGATCATTATAATGATACTAGAAGAAATAGCTCAGATGTTAAAGCTCATGAATTGTTTCAAAGTTATAGCCTTAAAGACTAGCACAAAGCACCTCATCTGAATGCTGAACAAGTGATATATAGAAAATGTATCTTAGGAGCATAATATTCAAGTTTTCATAAATTTGAGTAGTGCTTAAATACCAGTAAGGAATGGGGGCTACACATACCCAACAAGTAATGTGAAATACTCTACTTATTATTCATCATAATCTGCCTCCCTTTTGCATATTATGTTTGGTAACTGAGGCTCTAACAATGCCCCTTTCATAGGCAGGAAGGTGAATTCCAGTGTTTCAGCCTTGAAAATATGTTCTAACGACATCTGCAAGTTGGAGGTCGCTTCAACAAGATTAAATGAAGCCTTTATTTCTTATCTGGTAGCTGCCAAAAAATAACAGTACATTGCAGCTAAACAGCCTTTGAAATAATTATTTTTAACAAAGAAGTCTTGTAAAGCACCACATTTCAGAGATTGTTGCTGTGTTTTATACAAGTATCTTTTAAGCTCCAAGCTGAGTTAGCCTTCTGACTTACTAATGCATTCTTTTAGTATAACTATTTAAATGTGCATCTCTTGTTTTCTGAAGAGCATTTGTTTTAAGGAATATCCTGTTAAACTAGAAGCATATATAAACAATAGGGTTATGTTTTGCTACATATCTTATTTACAAAAGAATTTATGCTCATTAAATTAATAAAGGCCACAATAAACATGAAAAGTAAGATAATTTCAAATTCAGATGATCACATTTTTGAGTAATTGATGCCATTTGACTTGACAAATTTTTTTTATAAAACCTGTCATATCAAATTCAATTATCTCCACAAGTATTTGTTTTCTACCTATATTTGAACACTAGAGGAAAATATGGTATATTCACTTATACATGCCCATAGAACCATGGTTTCCAACCCTTTTGTCAAATACAGTCATAATCATGTAAATTATGCTATTGTAGTTATCTAGTATAATAGTGGTGGTAATATATAGTAATTACTTTAAACATGTATGTGCCAGACCTTGAACGCCATATGCACATTATTATTTAATTCTCACAGCCACCCCACAATATGGCTATATCTCTTAGCTCACAGCTTACATGTAAGAAAAGTGAAGCATGAAAAAGTTTGATGATTTCAGTTAGAAACCAAGGGTATGGAAAGAAGCACCAATGTAGTCTGGGAAGGGCATCTCAGCCTAGGCACTGTGGTGACTGCTACAGCCCTTCTGTTAGGCACCAGAACCTTACTGTTTAACTTTCGGGCTAACATTGACACATACCTCAGGTGAGAGAAACTTCTCAATCCGTTTAGCTATAAAACCTTTCTCCAATATGGAGTTGACTGATGGTCTATCCCTAGGATTCCTTTTAAATAGCTGAGAGAGCAAACTGCGGAGATCATAGGAATAATGCAGAGACACAGGAGGAAAGGATCCAGATATTATCTTCAATACCAGGTTTTTCATGTTTCCAGCTTCAAACTAAAATCCAGAAAATAGATGCACATGTATAAAAAACAAAGAAACTGAAATGGGAATTATCAGTAATGAGCAATAGTTCCTTTCCCACTAATACAGCATAGAAATACAATCCTCTCCCAAGTAATGCAAACAGCACACTTTCTGCAAACTTTACCTAATTACCTGTAATTTTGAAAGGCTGTCTTCAAAAAAAAATAAAATAGTATAATTGCTGTAAGAGTAAAATCTGTTTATGCAACATGCCAAGAGGAGAGGTATAAATATTAATAAAGATTTGACAATACATAACGATTAAGATAATAGTTAATAATAATAACCTAGTGATTTTCATTTTAAGACCTGGCTTCCTCTGCTTCTGCTCTAACAACTTGAAGAAAAAAATAACTACTGAGCGAAATGCATTTGGGCCATGTCCAGGGCTTTCTGCTCTTCCAGAGAACCTCAGTTTGGTTCTGGGCATCCACATCAGTTAGCTCAGGGAAGCCTTCAGATACATTCATTTGACCTCCAATGATATGTGCATTCATATAATTGCAGTACACTTTCATATATGCATGCACATTCATATAAATGTAAAAATACCTCAACAAGCAGTAATAAAAGACAGTATTAAAAAATAAAAACATGTTATAAAGTTGCCCATATAATATAAGCAAATTCTTGGAGATGAGTATTTCAATTTATAGATTAAATTAGAACAAAGCTTGGGGGAAACAAAGATAAGCAGTTGTTTCTTGTTAGAATTGCTTGTGGTACTTATTTACTGCTTTACAATTTTATGTATTTTCTGAAGTTTGAAAATACAGTACTGTTTAATCAGTGAGAGAAACAGACTAAAAAAGAGGGTATACAAATGAAGTTGCTAAGATTCAACATATTTTGACAAAAACTCTTCCTTTTTAATATATTTCATACTATTTCAAAACTACACCAATGGTGAAAATTGTAAATAAAGTAAGGGTACTTAATGTGATAGAAATACTTGGTAAGAGGCTAGGGAGATACTCAGTTGGTAAAATGCCTGCTGTGTAAGCTCGAAGATGTAAGTTCAGAACCCCAGACCACGTGTAAAAGACAGATGGCTCTGCACTCTCCACTAGGGTGAGCTGTGGGTGGAAGCAGATGGATCCCTAAAGCTCCCTAAAGCCAACCTGGCCAAAATGATGAGCAGGTTCTGTAAACCTGTCTCAGGAAATAAAGACGGAGAGCACTCAAGGAGAGACACCAGACACTGAGCCTGGGCCACACTGGGTACCTCCAACCTCACACCCACAGCACATGTGCGTACTCCCATTATCAAGTACACACGTACACACGTACACACACACACACACACACACACACACACCTTGAAGAGTACACTGAACAAAATTCTTTAATTGTTTTTCTTTTCTATGTTGGCAGTTTATTTTTAATAAAAACAACACTCTGGTTGTTACAAAAACTAAAATTCTTCAACTTCCAATAACAAACTCAAAAAATTTGGATGTTTTTAACTTAATTTTTTGTTTTGTTTTTCACACAAAATCTTGCTATCTAGTCCAGACTGGCCTTGAACTTGCGATTCTTCTGTGCTCAGCCTCCCAAATGCTGGAAATTACAGGCTTTTCCACCACACCCAGCTAAATATGGGTGTTCTCAAAGACCTTGCTAGAAGGAAACTAATAAAAGTATTAGGGAAAAACATCAAATTCACAGTAAATGAATTTACACGAAGGGGAGTGAGATCTGTTTGTTGCATGAGAAACAATGTTTGTGGGGGGGGAAGAGCACAAAATATAGTAAGAGCAAATATGTAGAAAGTCTAAATCAGTCTATTTCAGAAAATAAAACCTCTACTCTGTAAGCATTATCCGGAAGATTCCACAGCCCTGGAGACATCAGAACTTTTACTTACTGCGTGTTTAAGTGTACACAACTCATAAAGGACACAGCCCAAAGCCCAGATGTCACTGGGAAGACAAAAGTGAGAAATTTCTCCTTAATATCAGAATATATTTAATTTTTTTTTCATTTTAGCAAAAAAAAAAAAAAATAGCATGGAAAACCATGGGGAAAATATGTGCTCTATATAAAGTATTTTTTTAACCTCAAAATTTTGAACTAGATAATAAAAGCAGCTATCCCAAATTACAAAAATAAGGGCTGCCTAAGCAAGTACTTCAAAATTTCATTAAGGAAATTTAATATTTAAAAGAATGGCATAAAAATTCATTCCATTTATTTTTATTTTGCATTAATTCAACATACTTAATTTTAAAAATATTACAAAATGAAAAATATTAATTTACTATAATCAATTATGACAGCAAACTAAACAGTGTTTCTTGGTTGGGACCCTTCAGTTGGAAAAGAGAGGAAAAGGTCACTGTTATTCAATTATGGGACTGTCCTCAATAAGGTGGCATATAATCTACAAGCAGCTTAGATGACTAGCAGGCTGAGGCATTCAAGGATGTTAGTCCATCTCCCTCTGAACTTGGTTTCTTTATTGAGAACCTAGCATGCATTCTATACTATTAGCTATAGTTCCATAGGAGATGACTATGACAAAGACAAGGACCAAAGAGAGCACTCTGTCCCTAACTATGATAAACAACAAAGTGATTCTTTGCCGAGTTCTCCCAGCGAGAAAGAGTGTTTCTACATATGCTAACAATCTAAAGATATACACGGTTACACACACATTACTGATTTTAGAATAGTATTCTCAAGGCTACAGAGTGTGACAGAAAGGTTTAAATCAAATATATCATGTGTGGAGTATCATTTTAAATACCTTTTATTATTGTAAGGCTTGTTTTCACAGATTTCAGGAGACAGGTAGTATGGAGTCCCTATGCAAGTTCGAGCCAGCTCTACAGTACTAGAACAATAAAATTGTTAAAGAAGCTTAAGACAGAGCTATTATAATTTATTACATATACACTATACCAGATACAATTTGACTGACGACATTATATCAAAACAATGCTTAAAGCTGTTGTTATTACCTATTAAGAACTCGAGCAATTCCAAAGTCTCCAAGCTGCACTGTCCCATCTTTGGTTAGAAATATGTTCTAAGAGAAGGAGAGAGAGAGAGAGAACAAACAGAAATATCATTTCAGTCCAGTTACTTCTATGAGTCAATGTTTTTCAGAAAAATTAATCCAATTAAAAATTATTCTAGAATAACTGGATATCCCCATGAAAAAGAATAAATGTAGCTTCCTGCCTATCTTACCATATGCAAAATTAACTCAAAATGAATTATAGACTCTAAGAACTGAAACTATAGACAGGAATAAATTGTCATGCTTTTGAGGCAACTACTTCTTAGATATAACATGAAACAAAAACCAAAAAGAAAAAAAAATTGGACTTTCTTGAAACTAAGAAAATGGTGCACCACACAATATTGACACTGTCAATAACTAAATATGGGCCAGTGAGATCGCTCAGCTGGTTAAGGTAGCTGCTGCCAAGGCCGGCAACTTGAATCTAACCACCAGGATCCTCGTGGTGAAAGAGAACAGTTCCTGAACGCTGTCCTCTAACCTCCACTTGCATTCCTTAGCAGGTGTGTGTGTGTGCGCGCGCACACACACACACACACACACACACACACACACACACACACACACACAAAATGCAAATAGACCTTTTAATAAAAGAAAATGAATAGATAACAACAGAATGAAGAGAAAATTATCTACTCTTGAAAACTGGTATATATTTGAAAAGAAACTTATTTTATGAAAAAAAAAGAATTTACAAATCAACTGTACAAAAAAAAAGTCAAATAATCAGGCTGCCATGGTGGAACATGCTTCCCTAATCCTGGCACTAAGGAAGCATAGGAAAGAGATCTAAAGTCCAGGTCACCCACAGGTGTATGTTAGGTTCAAAAGCCTATATTGAGACACATCTCAAAACCCAACTCCAAAAGTGACAAATAATCCACCTTGTTGTTGCTTTTCAGACAGGGTCTCACTATGTAGCCTTAGTTGGCTTGAGATTCACTATGTAGACCAGGATGGCCTAGAACTCACAGAAATTCACACACCTTTGCCTCTCGAGTGCTGGGATTAATGTGTGGAATACCCCACCAGGCAAATAATCCAGTTTTAATACCTAAAAGCACATATTATCTGAGTTTCATTTAAATATACCGAAAACAGATATACAGACAGAAAGAAGACCAGTGGTTACCATGGTCTATATGGAGGAGGAACAGGTATGACTGGGAATGGGCATGTGGTACTCCTTTGAAGAGAAAAAATTCTATACATATACTAAAATCAGTAAACTGTACACTTAGAGAGAGTGTGTGTGTGCACGTGTGTGTGTGCGTGTGTGTGTGTGCGCACGCGCGTCTGCATTTGCTGTAGCATCTCTCTGAAGGTCAGAGGACAACTTGCAGGCGTCAGTTCTGTTCCTGTACCGTGGGCTTTACATTTCTGAATGTCAATCCTTGATACCAAAAAACAAATGAACCGTATCTTACAATTTTGTGGGAAAACAATCTCTTATCCAGAAATTTATACCCAAATTTTCATTAATTAGAGAAAAGGGAATAAAGTCAACTACAAACATGCAAAATCTCAAAACAAAATTAACTTCCCCGCATCTTTCTTTGATTTATTCTATCCCAACGAAGGAGTCAATCAAGAGAGCAGAGAGCACAGAGATGGAAGAGCTACTACAGGGAACGCATGGGGGACATCAAGGATCTGAGTGGACAGGAAGAGTGGAAGGACAGAAGCTGCTGTTTCCAGTCATGGGGAAGTGATGGCCTGGCCTGCAGGTTCACACCCGTAATCCCAGCACTCGGGATGCTAGGGTCTGAGGACCACAGCTTGGGCTACATAGAGCTTCAGGCTAACATGAACAAAACTGTGAGACCCTGGGCTTTTAAAAAAGGTGGGGGGGTTGGCTATTAGTGACAGAATATAAAGAGCATACCTGTGACTTTATATCTCGGTGAAGAATTTTTCTATCATGTACATGCTTCAAAGCCAAACATATCTGTACAAACCAGTCCAAAATCTAGAGAGAAACATCACATTCAGAACACTCAGGCTCCAATTTCTTTGTACTTTACAGATACGAACACTAGTGGGTATCAAGCCAACTGACAAGAGAATCAGGTATAACACATACTAAATCTGTTACACACGGCACAGTATGGGGAGAAACCTGAATGAAAAATATAAATAATCCATACTTTCTGGTAGACTGGTGATAGGTGGGTAGGTTTGTCAAGTTTATCTTTTCTCTGTACTTTTTCAATATAAATTAAAAATTACAAAAAGAAAATTATTAAGATAGAAATTTAGAAGGTATCTACCAAAATACCTCTATTCATATTCACCACATATAAACAGTCTCTGGAATTGTAATTTAGATGTAAAACAACTTAACTTCTACCTCACTCCACACCAATATAATTACAATAAGACAGCATCATTAACATATAATGATAAAATAAAACATAGGTCAATTTTAATAATTTTTTGACTGACACATGATTTTCAAAACAGAACACAAAAAATACACCCCCTCCAAAGTCCCAAGGTAACTCTGCTATATAAAATTTAAAACATCTTCATAGCAAAATATATAGCCAAGCTTATTAACAATTTGAGAAAACGCCTGAACATAATTGACAGGTTGCTAATTCTCAAATTCCTCACATCCTTGGGGAAATGCTGGTGACTAGAACACGGGATGACAGAGAGTGGAAAGACAAATGGCACAAAGGACAATAAACACACAGGAAATACTACTTCTTCAAATTAAAACAGTAACTAAGGAAGGGACCATTTTAACTTGAAATGATACATAAGATTCCTCAGAATGTGGTATAATGCATACCTTATTTTCATACCTCATTTGTGAGGAGGTGGTAAGTCATTTGATAAAACACAAAAATTTAAAATTCACACGACTCTCAAATTAGTAACTGCAATTTCAAATTTATTCCAGATACAGTATCAGAAATGCCAAATCTGCATACAAGGGGTGTATGGTTTAGTACTGTTTATTAAGCAATCTACATGCCCATTAAGGGGATTGATAAAATATATTATGCCAGCCTGTACTATGCAGCCACTGAGGAGGAAGAACCGCTGTGTATGGAACTAACCACTGTTAACTGAACACAGAAAGTTGCAGAACAGTATGTATGTTGCACTCCCACTTTTAAAAAAGCACATGCTTATGTCACATCTGAACTGTATCACTCATGCATTTTTGCTTATAGTGTGTGCCTGTGTGAGTACAAGAAAGACAGAATAATGGAAGAGAATGAGACCAATAAACAGGGTTTAACACTAGAGAAGTGGACTGCAGAATAATGGGTAACAAGCTTTACTTGTTCCACTCACTCTTAGTATTTTTAAAGGAACAGATAGTACATTTTAAGTCATAGAAAATTAATTGTAAAGTAATTTCCCTAACAAAACATTCTCCTCACTCGAGGTGGCAGCAGAAGGCTCATTAATTCCAGGAGAGGCACATGGTAAAAAGCCTATTTCCAAAATAGTAAAAGCAAACACTAAAACTAAAGAACCCTGTCAGTTAATTATTTTTTAGATATTTACTGAGTGAAAAGAGCATAAAATTGGAAATGCCTTTCCATAGTGACATAAGGGATTTTGAGTAGAAAAATGACTTCCAGAGTACATACAGTGGTAGAGACTCACAAATACCCGGAATGAAATGTGCATCTAACTAAAGAGATCGGTAGAAGAACAACCCGGGAGGGTCAGGAAAAGGACAGACAACGAGTAGACTAAGTGGAGTCCTACTGCTGGGGAACTAGGAGTAGAAAGGAACGATCCCAGAGTCTTATCACCTCACTGTACAGAGTTCTTCGGTTACCTTGTTTCCCATGCCTGATCTTTTTGTCAACGCTGTACGATATGTGCAGCAATCAGCTTTGCAAAAAGAGCTCATAAATTAGGGGTCCGCAAATTTATTATTCTGTAAACAGTAAGAAAAGCTGGGTGGTGGCATACAATTTTGATCCCAGCACTCACAAGGCAGAGGCAAGAGAATCTCTGGGTTCAAGGCCATCATGGTCTACAGAGTGAGTTCCAGGACAGCCAGGGCTACACAGAGAAACCCCGTCTCAAAAAACAAAACGAACAACAAATAAAAAAAAGAGAAAGAAAGGGGTTAAGAGAGTACAGAGTACAAAGCTTAGGCTTAATAGCCATATGGTCTTTCTCTCTTAACTTTCTCACCACAGTAATAGAGCAATCATAAGTTATTTGCAAACAGATTTAATTACGCTGTAATAAAATTTCATTTACAAACAAAGATAGTGGGCTGGATTTGGGCTATAAAGACTTAGAGAGATGAGCAAAGTAACTCAGAAATTCCAGAGCAGTGATGTGCCAGTCTTAGAGCTCAGAAGAACAACTCAGCCTGGAGAGGATGAAAGAGCCAACAAGGTGAATAACTAAGTATCAACCGTCGGGACAGAACAGTAGCGAAAGAGGCCTTTCCATTTCTGAGTTCTTCGTAGTATGACTTTGAAGTTAAACAGAAGCAGGTTCAAAAGGCAACTATATTATTGGAGGCAAGTTACTTAACTTCTGTTAGATTTCTTACCTATTAAATTGGGGGAAAAGTCATAAGATTTAAAAGAACCAATCTAACCCTCCCTCCTCCTATGCAAAAACATGCATATAAAATGGGACTGGGTGGTAAAGAGAAAGGCAGCAGGAATTTAAAGACAGAAAAGACCAAAGAAAACCAGTTATGAAAAATTTAAAGAAGTTGGGACTTGAGCTGAACTTTAAATAACAATAAAAGACAGTTGAGGGAAAATGTTATGAAAATAATCATGATAAAATTCAACAAAGAGGAGACAGATGTACAAATACAAGGCTCAACAACACAAAGTTCATGCTCAATAAATACCTGCTAAAATAAATAACAAGGAGTAGACAGGTTTACAAAATACCTAAAAATGGGGCTGCTTAGGTTAGGTGGGCCACACTTCAGAGACTCCGGGAGTCAAATTAGATTTCACGCAGCTGCAAATGCAAGGCTTCCAGAGCTAGAGGTATTTAGCCAGGCTGTATTTTTGGAAGATATGATCTGGCAGCAATAAGACAGATTGGCAGGACACAGAATAATTAACCAGTTATAATGAATAATTAGGTTACATACATTCATATATATGCACACACAGATGTATGTAACCTAATTATTATTATTATAACCTAATTATTAATTATGAACTTATATGTATGCACACATACATATGCATGTGGGATGTAGCTTATACTATACATACAAGAATCTATTATAGATAGGAAATGAGATATGGAACTAAATAAATGTGGCAGCTAATTAGAGATGGGACTAAAATATTGGGTCTAACAGCAGCTGCCCTAGTGATTACGTCTAGCACCCACAGTTAAAAACGAATACACACAGCTAGGTGTGGTGGCACATGTCTACAGTTTTAGTTAAAAACGAATACACACAGCTGGGTGTGGTGGCACATGTCTACAGTTTTAGTTAACAACGAATACACACAGCTGGGTGTGGTGGTACATGTCTACAGTTCTAGCACTGAAGTGGTAACGTCAAGGTGATCAGGAGTTTCAGGCTAGCCTCGGCTACATGAGACTCTATCCTGTGCTCTGTTTCCCACCCCACCCCCCAAATAAATACATAGGAAATCACACTTTGAGTTGCTTCTTGGAAGTGGAGTAGGAATCAAGCTCCTCTGTGCTAACCCACCTGATCTTCTTGAAACAAAGCGCCTTTCTGAGCATTTATTCGTTTAAACAGATCTCCTCCTTCACAGTAATCCATTACTATGTAGAGAGAGCCATTTTCTACAAAAGATAAACATCAAATTCCATTTTTAAAATGTTGCATCAAAATCATAGTTAAGGTACTTAAAGATTTGCTAAAAAGCAGCAGCTAAACAAAAGAGTGGACCATCTTCAAAAGAATTAGGGCACAAAGTCTAGGAACTCTGCCTATACAGGGTGTACAATGACTTAAGTTTTAGGCAACTCCATCATTGACCATTTTTCTACCAAGAATACACCATCTGAGTAGAAAATGGTGTTCGTATCTTAATATTTCCAGAACATAAATAAAATGCAGAACAATATACTTTTGCTCAATTTTCTTGAATATTACATATAAAATCATATTTTCCCACCAACTTTCAGAATATCTTAGAATTGAAATGATCACTAGTTTTCAGTTTTGAATTATTCACTTGAATTAATGGTTCATTAAACATAAACACAACAATAAATGATATAATGAGCTGAAGAGTCAACAGCGAGTAAGGCACAGCTTTCTCCCCAAGCCCCCAGGGGTTTCTTTTATTCTTCTGAAACAAACAACTGTTCATGTATGTGAATAAACGTGAAGATGGGACACTGCCACAATCACTTTGTATTTTTATACCTTTATATCTTTATGCACAGAGAAAGGATCCTCGGTGTCTCTTCCAAGTCATCTTTCCACTACCAACTTTTTTTCATGCAAGGAAGAGTGATCAATAGGATTTGTAACATCTGCTGAACCATGACTCACTAAGGAGACCATCACAACTGGAAGAGTGGTGTTCCTACTTCTTGTGTCCTTATGATGTATACAGGGGCCAAACTTCTAAAAACGCTCATCTCTCTCACTTTGAGGGGGCATTCTTAATGAGGGTTCTTATATGCTCTTCTGATATACAGTTTATAATACACCCTTAGAACTAGAAACTTACCTGAATTAAACTAATTAAGAAGCTGTATGACTATGACTGAGATGCAAAGATCATCTAATATACATGCTAGAAATGACAAAATAAAATGGGGCTGGAGAGATGACTCAGTGGCTAAGAGCACTCAATGAGGACCTGAGTTTGTTTCCCACACCCACACAGTGGCTCACAATCACTGATAATTCCAGCTCCATGGGATCTGATGCTGCCTTCTAATCTCCTAGAGCACCAAACATGCACATGGTGCACTTAGATACATACAAGCAAAAACATATAAAATAGAAATAAACCTTAAAAATGACAATATGAAGAAAAAAACCGCTATAGAATCCACAAGTTGCATACAGTATGTCCTCATTTATACACTTATTAACACTTCAGACTATTTCTGGGAGGAAACAAAGAGCAGTAACGATAATTGTGGTGATATTGTGTTCCCCAAAATTTTGTGCACACTAAGAAACTTATCTGGGGTCAGAGTACAGAACAGTCACTAAATATAGAGGCCAGAAAATGGTGGCCTTTAATCCTATCACTTGGGAGGCAGAGATCCATCCGGATCTCTGTGAGTTTAAAGTCACACTGGAAACATCCAGGCATGGTGACTCACGCCTTTAATCCCAGAAGTGATGACAGAAAGCAGAAAGGTATATAAGGCTTGAGGACCAGGAACTAGGGCCCGGTTAAGCTTTTAGGCTTTTAGCAGCAGTTCAGCTGAGATCCATTTGGATGAGGACTCAGGGGCTTTCAGTCTGAGGAAACAGGATCAGCTGAGGAACTGGCGAGGTGAGGAAGCTGTGGCCTGTTCTGCTTCTCTGATCTTTCCGCATTCACCCCAATACCTGCTCCAGGTTTGTTTCTATTAATAAGACCTTTAAAGAGTCCTGCTACAGAAAGTTAATTCCAAAAAAGAGCGGTGGTATTTCAAAGGCCGTTGAAAGCAAGCCTTCTGTGTTTTGTCTGCCGCGTGTGGTGCCAGGAAGGGGGAAAGGAAGGTTTGCAGGTCTGAACCTAATCTCAACTACATGGCAAGATCCTGTGTCAAAGCTGGAGAGAGAACTTGGTGGAAGAGTTTACTCAGAACACACAAAGCCCTGTGTTTGATCTCCAGCACTGGAACATGGGGAAACGGAGAGGTGAGACGATGGGAGGTTACAGAGAACACAAAGAAATTGGAGAAATGTTGGGGATTTAGTTCATGAATTAGTTATATTTTCTGCTACTCAGATCTCTAAAAGAGGCAAAATAATCATTTGTTCTCTCCTCTCTCTCTTTCCTCCCATCCATCTACCCCCTGCTTGCATGCTTGCTTGTCAAGGTCTCCATGTGTTTCCCAGGCTGGCCTCAAACTCACAAATGCTCCTGATTCTACCTCCCTAGTACTAGTACTACAGGTGTGTGTCACCATACCCAGCATTAAATCAATATTTAAATATATAATTAACAGAGAAGTGTCTCCTCTGTTAGAGAAGTAATAATCTGTTTTGTATTCTCCTAACATTATCACCACCTGTTTGTCAGATTACTTTGTATAAGACCACAGATACATAAAAACCCCTTTATCACTAATACACTTACAGGCTTTTAAAGACCCCCTAAAACCCAAAACTACTACCTTAGAAACTGCTTGAGGTTGAAGCAAAACAAAGCACAAAAAGCAGGTGAGCCAAGTGACAAAGACAATCAGAATAACGAAGGGCATGACAGAAACATTAAGGGGCCATGAATTAGAACACTCAGTACAAGCACACTGCCTGGCTATTTCTGGCGCCCTTTCCTTCACCACAGCTAAGTTCAGAAGCCAAAAAGCCCCAGATATTTTAAATTACTGTTTTCTACCAGCTTGGGGTATGGATTTGTGTTCATTACAAAAGACATACATGAGCCGGGCGGTGGTGGCACATGCCTTTAATCCCAGCACTTGGGAGGCAGAGGCAGGTGGATATCTATCTGTGAGTCCGAGGCCAGCCTGGTGTACAGAGTGAGTTCCAGGATAGCTAGGGCTGTTACACAGAGAAATCCTGTCTCCAAAAACAAAAAAAGACATACACATATGTATGTACGTATGTATGTATGTCTTAATTATAGATTTAAGTACAGTGTTTCCTAGAGTTCTGTGAGCTGCCGTAGCAAGTTAACTGGATCTGAAAGGAGGTCAGGGAATGTCCATTTGTAGCTTATTTGGCAGGAATTCACAGGTCTGCACTTGCTGCTGGGTCTGAAATGGGGAACGTGTGGACAGTGTCTCCAGTCTGGGCAACATGACACTACCTGCAGGTACAGTGTCTGATGGGAACTGGAGGAGAGAGTTTCTAGCTGCTGTCCACTGTAGAGCTGCTTGTTTGCTACTGGAGAGACTCCCACACCTTTTGAGTTACAGAAGTCTTCAGTACTGTGTGCAAGAGCAGAGGGAAAAAAACAAGCACTGTGTTTCCCTGACACAGCATGTGTCGTGTAGGCACAGAAAACAGGCTAAGAATACACACAGGGTTATCAGCCACCCTGCTTCCTAGGGAGTTCCAATGAGGGTGAGGTTAGAGGAACTGAGAACTTGTCGTCATGCCTGCCCATACCTTTTGAACATTTACTGTGAGCAGGTATTGCTTTAAAATGAAGTACATTTGAATCACTCAGATTACTTCTAGGTGAAGATGGGGAGGGACCGTGAGGACCCACCCCTAGATGAGGAGATAGATACAGCAGTGAAAGGCTACTGGGGAAGGAGTCAGTTTTCCTCAGGACTGTCATCACTGGTAAATTGCCCCAGATTCAGAAAGTGCCCCACATCTGTGCACGTGCAAGCAACCCTAATGAAAGGCAGTGGGTAATTAACAAGAGAAGACATCAAAGTAGGAAGGAGGGCTGGGAAGAGGAGAGCAATGGGGTGTGTGTGAAATATGATTAAACTACATACGTGTATGAAATTGTCAAAAGAGGAGGAAAAGCTTGAAAAAATCAAGATCAGAACACTTTCTCAGTTTTAGTGGTAGGAATACTTATATGGAGCTTTAAGTTTAAAATGTTAATTATTATTCATTTTGCCCACTCCAAATTTCTGTACTATAGTGCTTCTTTTTAAGTAACTGCTAATGACAATGAGCCAATATTAAGCTACGATGGGATAGTCTGGTGTCAATACTATCCTAGAAATCAAACTGATACTTACAAGCATATCTATTAAACAAAAAAAGGAACATTTTTTCCTAAAAATACATATACAAAATAATTCCTTACAAGGAAAGCACCCAAAATTCATAAGTGTCTTAGCTTATTTTAAATGTTTGCAAAATTCCCGTCTGACCTTCGAATGATTCTTTATACTGGACAATGTTTGGATGCTTCATGTTTGCCAACACCGCAACTTCTCTCCTTGATTCTTGCCGCTCTTTACCGGACATCTTAACGGGAGGAAACAGTAAAACCACCAATAAAGTTAAAAGTCCATCACTATGAGAGTGGTTAAAAATGGTGCTAATCCAGTACAATAATCATAATAAATAAATTAAAACTATAGCAGTGAGTGGAAAAGGAATGAACTGAATCCAGAAGTGAAACCCTCTTAGGGTACCCAGTCCACAGCACGTTACAGCACCGTAAATATATGCTTCTACAAGCAAGTACAGGAACATAATGGAAAAAATCTGAATGGACACTCAGATTCCTCTGAAATTGGTGGTCCTTGGTGGGATTATAGCACTTTCTCATTAGGTTATGCATTTCTCTAATAAAAAGTCCTATGGTAACCAAATTATTACTTGTGCAACTGAAGTAAAAATATACTTACCCTTGAGATGTTAATTTCCTTGATAACATAATGCCTGCTGTCCTCTGTGGATTTAACAAGAACAGCTTTTCCAAATGAGCCTTCTCCAATCTTCTGTAGTCTAACATACTTCTCCATGGTTCTTTCTTAAGGCATTTTTATAGGTTAGCTAAACACAAAGAAAGTTAACAGAGATTAAGCAAGTCTTAACAAAAAGATATCTAAGCCGGGCTGTGGTGATGCCCGCCTTTAATCCCAGCACTTGGGAGGCAAGCCAGGCAGATCTCTGTTTGAGGCCAGCCTGTTCTACAGAGTGAGATGCAGGAGAGGCGCAAAGCTACCCAGAGAAACCCTGTTTCGGGGGTGGGGGGGTGGGGGGGAAGATATATAACATCTTGACTGAAAGTCAGATAAATTTTACACTTACAACAAAACAAACAAGAAATAGTGATGTTTCAATTTTATTAGAATGCTTTGAAACATCTAATACTGAACCTATTTACAACACAGGCACATAAAGGCAATCTTTTTTCTACATGAATTAGTAGCATTATTTTATTACTTTAATATGAATATAAGCTTAGTAAGACACAATTTCTCAAAGTTGTTTCAACAATTCAGCAATTCGAGGTAAAATTCTGTGCTTATCAGAAGACCCATCCTAAAATCTGGGCTACACCTTTTGGTGACAGTCCACATAAAGGATGTGGAAGACAGGAGCTTTTGCTCTTTGCCTGCTTGCCTTCACTCTTGCTGGCAAGTTCATCTGTCCTGCTGCTGAAGCACTCCTTCACTGGCTTTAGAACCTACTTCTTCAGGACTGAAAACCAGCCTTGTGTTCAGATCAACTACCAGATTCTTTGCCTTTCCATCGGGTGACAGCCACTGTTAGACTAGCCAGACCACGGTCTGTAAGTCACTCTAATAAATCCCCCTTTGATATATACAGACCCACTCTATTAGCTGTTTCTCTAGAGAACCGTGACTAAGACAGTACCTTTAACAACTGTAATTTTAGATAAGCCAGAAAAAAATACACTAGGTAATGAAATCTTAAGGAAGGAAGCAATGTGAAAGCCGTGAAAGCCATAAAAGCACAGCTGGGGCACGACTCCTCTTCTGTAGACATACACAAATTCACTGTTTTAATCAGACACTAATGCTTTATCCAGCCAAGTCGCTCTTTGTTCCCATTCATAGCAACCATGTTTCCAATGTATGATTCCCTTCTAGGAAGTGAGCTTTCAGGAAACTTAACATTTCTGCCACAGTTCACCATATTAATAAACTGCTATTTTCATCTCATCCACCAATACTAAATTTTTTAATTTTTCTAAAAAGATTCAATTTTCTTAAATTACTGAATTCATATTATAGTTCTGAAAACTATAAATGTTCAAATTCAGCCTGTAATAAAATTGATAATTATAGCCAATGAAATTTTGTGAAAAGAACCTTCCGCAACTTTTAAAAAAACCTAATAATCAGCTCCCATTTCAATTTCTATAATGATAACGCTTTCAGCAACCTTAAGAGGAATAAGAATTAAAACATTATCATAAAACTCCAACCATCAACAGTGAGGTAGAAAGGAAAAGTCATTCCAAACATGGTCTACATCGACGCAACAGCATAGGGTAATGGGTATCTGGGAGCCAGCCACAATTTAATGTTATCTACACGGAAGCTCAATGTATCATATTACTACACCACTTAGAGAGCAAATCATGATAAATTCACCTTAGGAGACTCAATTCCATGAAATAAAATTACATTAAATAATAACTACATAATGAGGTTATTTGATAACGTCATTGTTTTGTGACTTTTTGCCAAGAGGAAAAAGTGAAATTTGTCAGTTTGGCTCTGTGGGGCGTTTACCCACCAACCCCACAGTCCCCCAGAGTTTTCTTGAGTGAGAAAAGCAGGAAATATTAGATAGAAGGATTTAGATTGTGGAGATAAACAGAAAATAAAGGATAGCCTCCAGAAAGCCTGGAACCTTTTCCAAAGGGCCCTGTCTCTGCCCAGGGTTTTTATAGAGACGCCAAGCGGTGGAGCAAAAGACCCCCCCCCCCCCCCAGCACAGTCAAGTGCAGACCATCTCAGACACCTGCACTCAGGCCCGTGGTCCTAATCATCCTCTCTATGAGGACCTGCTAGGTAAAGCCACGAGGAACCTGAAAACGGGCTCCCACATGGCTCCTCCTCCAAATTTAATTGCCAGGTCCTTTCTAGGGACTATACTAAAAGGACCAAGCAGATGCCCTAACAGGCTGCTCAGTCTTCTCTGAGAGATCAGGCCTCAATTTCAGTTTCCTGAACCTTGAGCAAGCAGTTTCTAGGAGGGCCATGAAGAAAAGACAATCAGTGATGCCCCTGCCAGAAGGAACAGGGAGATAGGACACACCGAGCCTTGGCCACTGAGCCAGCCCTCACAGTCAGTACATGCTAGGCCAGCTACCCTCCATACCTACCTGCTCAAGGACAAAACCTGGGACTTGTCCAGGCCTGCCCAAAAATGTAAGACTGTAACCCCCAACTAACCCTAGGCAATTAAAAGTTACTAACATGATTGCCACTTGAATAAACCAATCCTGAGTCTGTTCCTATGTAGTCTGTAGACCCTCCCCCGTGCTTTACCCCATATAAAAACCCTGCCCATTGCTACTGGGGTCTCTCCTACTCTACTGCTACATTAGACGGACAGAGAGGCCCGAATTAACTCGCAACAGTAAAAAGACTCTGCTTCTGCATCAGATTTGGTCTCTTGGTGGTCTTTGGGGGACTCTGGGTACAACAATAGCAAGACGGCAGAACCTATTTATGGTGATATTTTATTTGTGCTGAAATGTGATTTTATTTGTATGTTAATAAATAAAAGTGCCTGGGGGTCAGAGCTAATAACAAGCCATAGCAGATGTCTGGCAGTGGTAGCACACACCCTTAATCCCAATCACATGACAGGCAGATCTCTGTGTGTTCAAGGACACCACCAGCATGGAGACACACGCCTTTAATCTCAATACCAACCATAGAGACTTGGAGGTCATGTGGTTGGGTTTACAACCAATGAGAAGGCAGAACAGAAAGTCAATAAAAAGACACACAGGAAGAAGGTCTCTTTCTCAGGGGGAGGATGGCAGCGGGTGGTAAGAAGGTTGTCTCGGCTTTTGGCTACTGCTCTCTGATCTCTGGGCTTTTAACTCTGCATTTGGCTCTGTGTTTCTTATTTAACAAAACTGTTCAGAATTACATCTATACCTATTAATGTCCCTAGAATTTCATTCTACTGCCATCCATATCCTGAGCACTGTGGTCCTAATTCAGTAAAGCCAAATCTACTGCCCTTGGTAAGAAGAAAGGTGAAGAGAGAGAATTCCAATTGCCATCAAACAACGATAAACACATACCTTTCTGAGCAATCAAGGTTCATGGTTAATAAGTTTCAGAAGATATGCAAGCCCTCCTTCTCTGAAATGTACATCAGAAGGAAAACATAAGCTACCTACTTCATAGCCGTGAGACTTTACAACTAATTTATTATACTATTAAACAATTTCATATGAAATGAAAGAAAATATAATAATAAAATATACCACCTGAATCAGCTGGCTGTCTTACACAACCCAGGACCAACTGCCTAAGGGTGGCACTACCCACAGCAGGCTGCATTATCCCACACCAATCATTAATCAAGAAAATGTTCACATACATGTCCACAGGGCAATCTGACTGAGGCAATCTTTCAATTGAGAGTCCCTTTTCCAAGATATGTCTAGATCTGTACACTAACAAACACTATTTGTGTGGCAAAAGGAAATAAATATGTATATATTCATGTTTACATTTATTTATATACATATGTATGTATGCACACACAGAAGTGTTTATATAAGAAGTAATTTTGTAAGGACACACACACACACAAAACTAGTAATATTGCTTCCAAAGAAGGGAAACGAACAGTTGAGAATTCTTCAATCTTTTGTATTGTCTGAATTTTGAACCATAAGAATTTATTAGCTAGTCAAAACAACAAAATTAAATTTAATCAGCCGTGTATACCGATACAAGTAGGAAGAATACTGAGCAGATCAATTTCACCTCCTTTAATTTTTAAATGTATGTATTGAGAGAAAGAGAGGAGAGAGAGGGAAGGGGGAGAGAGGGAAGGAGAGGGAGAGAGAACGTACGTGTGTGTGTGTGTGTGTGTGTGTGTGTGTGTGTGTGTGTGTGTGTGTGTACACTAAGAAGATAACTTGTGGGGGTTGGCTCTTTTCTTCCACATATAGGTAGGTCATGGAGATTGAACTAAGGTCCTCAGGCTTGGTGGCAAGGGCCTTTACCTGCTGGTCCATCTTGCTGGCCCGAATCAAATATCTGAACAGGAATGAGCATATAGCTTGATTGCAGAAGCACCTGACTATTATGCACCAGGCCCTGGGACCGATCCTGAGCACTAGGGGGGGGGGGGGGGGGGGGGGGGGGGGGGGGGGGGCGGGGATCTTGAACAATTCCCCATTTTCAAACTTTTCACCTTAACATTTAAAGTTTTGCTACAATATCATGTTGTTTCTTAAGTACGTCAATGATGCTCCAGAAAAATATACTTCAACTCTAGTCAAATTAGGTATCTTCCTTCCCATTTTTCTAAGAACTATTACAAATAAACTATGTGTGACACAATACTATGAACCGCATATGAAAACTGTCAGAGTACATGGATTGAGAGTACTGCATCAATCAGACCAAACACACACTGACAGGCATTAAGCATTACCTGTTTCAGATAGTTGATAGACAGGTTATTCCAGAGGGAAGGAAACATTAGGAATAGATGACAACAGATGTCAAGGAATTGTCTGGTTCTGCCTGCAGGCAAAATCCGTACACGCGGTTCTTCCAAAACAACAGAAACAACCTGAACTGTAGAAAAGGGTGAATGTACCTTCTCCGAGAGGAAAATTCTCTATTTGTCATTACTGAGAATAAATTAGAAAGCAAAATTGGGGATTGCTACTATTTTTTTTTTCCACAGTATGTGTTTTCTCCTCGGTAAATATATCCAGACAATATCCAAGGAGTTTGTAGTAGAAACTACCAACATACAAAGAAAAACTTTATATGCATGAAAAGCTATCATGTCCATGATTTAAAAAAGAAAACAGAATAGAGTGTAAAACCTACTTGGAATACAATGTCAATGTATTATTAATATGACCTCAAAAGAACTTCTGTGGTTAAGTTCCACAGCCTTTATCAGATTTCTAACAGACTTTTTTCTGTGTAAAAACCAGTTTTTCCAGAAAATAGATTACTCAGGTTTCACGAGAAGAGACCATTTTAAATGTAGACATCTAGATCCTTGAAACTAGAAACAAGTAACTACTCTTTGTGTTTGGCTGTGGCCCATCATCTCTACTTGCTGAATTGTAAGAAAAGCCCATCACTAAAGATTAGACAGAGTAGGGCTTTTAAGCCTTCACAAACATTTCCGATGTGATTTATGTAGCAATAAAAATATTTCTGCTTCTCGGAGATCTTACAGGAGAGACTAAAAAATTGCCCGGGGTATATAACGCAGTTGGCAGCTCACCAGCCTAACAAAAATAAAGTCCTGTATCCAATCCCCAGGACCCCTCCCCAAAGTTACATTGAATTATTAAAGTAGTAAAACTTTTAATACTTTACACACGGAAACTGTGTCAAATCATGAAAAGAGGAGCGATACATTGTTTTAGGGTAATCAGCTGTTATTCATTTTCTCATTAAAATATATAGGTAAGATCAAAGGCATCTAATCTATTTAAATAACTGCTTATCACCCACTGTGATTGCTTTGTCATTTTTATGATATCCAAGAACTGCTTTGTGCAACACACAGGCCCCTCCCCGTTAACATGTTAATGAGATGAAGGTGCTTCACGTGCAAACACTTGGGTGAGCATCATCCATGCCCTCCACTGAGCACCCCTCCAGGTCTCCTCGCTCCCCGTGAGTTCACCAGTCTGCCTATCACTGCTCCCCGCCACGAGCCACTCACCTCAATGACACGAGAATTGAGTCAGAATAACAGTGGCGACCATAAGCACCGGTCTAGATGCGGCAGTGTCTTCCTAGGGGACTTAAGAAGACAGGGGCAGCACGGTGCATTTTGAAAATGACTTGCTGGAAGAGAAAACAGGTCTGTCTTCCCCAGCAGCCGCTGGCAGCCCAGACTGCGACTCCTACACCTGGCACGGGTCTCTGACTGACGCGTCAGGCGGGCCAGGCACAGCGCCCGGGCCACGGGTCCTGGCTACGCGGACGAAACAAACACAGCGGTTTCTGACCCCTTGGAAACCGCGGCGGCGGCGGCGGCGGCACAGGGGGAGTGCCGGGTACCGCCCCCAACTTCCCGGGTCGAGGTGGCTCGGCCAGGCGCGGAGCCGCAGCGTGCGGGACTGGGAGGCTACCTGCCGCCCGCGTCCTCCCGCCTCGCCACAGTGACCATGGATTCCCGGCTGCTGCGGGCAACCGCACCGGCTCAAGGTAAGGACTCCGCACGTTGCCGCCCCAAAACCCTGGGGCTAACGCTGTGGAGAGCGGAGCCGCCCGCGCGTCACTGTCGCCGGCGTGTGACGTCAGCGCGCAGGAGCCGCCTTGGAGCGGCGCTGCAGGGGAGGAGCCGGGAGGCGCGGTGGGGCGGGGCTAGCCGGACTAAGAACGGGGCGGTACCTGCAGGGCGGGGCGGAACTAGCGGGGATGGTAGGGGCGGGGTCTCGGGGAAGGGCGGGGTTACGGAGTGGGCAAGCGAGTGGGATCGGGCCAGCCGCCGTGGAGGAGCTAGGGGGCGGGGTCAAAGGGGCGGGCCTAGAGAGAGGAGCCGGGGCAGAGGGCGGAGCGAGAGGGTAGGTGCAAGCTAGGAAGGAAGGATTGGGGGCGTGGCGAATCGAATTGGGCGTGGCAGGGGTAGGGCGGGATCGGGGAGGAGCGAAGGAACTCGGGCGGGACATCGGGAAGGGGCGGGGCCATCGGAGAGTGCTAGGGCCTCCAGGACAAGGCTACCCCGAGACTTGAGAAGGCTGCAATGATGCTAGCAGGGAGGTGCGGACAGGGGGCGGGGCGGAGGGGGAGGGCCGGAGCTTCAGGGTTGCCCCTCCAAGAAGGGAGGGAGTCTGTGATACAGAAGGAGGGTGTGAGAGATGAGCGTGGGAAGAAGAATGTAAAACTGGAAAGAAGTGGGCTGAGTGAAGGCGGGAAGTTCGCGCAGGAATCTCAGACTGAATAAAGCATATTCATAACTTTCCCACACACGGTACACAGATACGGCACTTTAATTTGAGTGCTCATTACTTAACTGAGGATGCCATATATACACAAATAATTTTAAGTACAAAGCCTTTAAAAAGTTATTTTGAGCCGGGCAGCAGTGGCCCATGCCTTAAATCCAACACTTTGGAGGCAGAGGCAGGAGGATCTCAGTAAGTTCAAGGCAAGCCTGGTCTACAGAGGGAAATCCAGGACAGGCACCAAAACTACACAGAGAAACCCTGTCTCAAAAACAAAACAAATAATAATAATAATAATAACATGTCTTTAAGTTACTTTGTGCAGTTAATAAAAGGAATCATTTTTGTCTTTAATTTTTAAAATACAAATCAATGATACAGTTTTCTGCACCTTTACATCTACTGTGTGTTTAAGTTTTGTACTGAAGGGACTGGTGGTGTACAATAGACTAAAAACCTTTCAGAAACAAGTGAGAACACACTGAGTGTCATCCTGAGTAGCTTTACTCAGTACTTAGTACCTCCTAGGATAATCTGGAACTGCTAGAAAGTCCATACTTGAACAGGAAGAAGATTGTGTCTTTGTATATTACCACAGTTGCTGTATGTTGAGCTTGTTGTGTGTTGTATGCAGATAGAGTGGAGAGACTGGACAGACTGCCAGAGATCTGAGGTCAGATGATTTAGATCAAAGAAACCTACTTCCTCTTTCCGTTTTTTCCCATCCTTCCCCACCCTACACACTCAGGACAACTTTAATAGGTTCAGGAGTTTGTAATTATTTCTAACTTGGAAAAGAATAGATTTGGGGCTTCTTTGCCAGATGGTGACCACCCAAGCTAGTACACTAGAAAAATAAATGTTGGCATTCAGCGCTTCAATTTTCATGCAGCTACAAAAGACTATTTTTCCTCTCTCTCTCTCTCTCTCTCTCTCTCTCTCTCTCTCTCTCTCTCTCTCTCTCTCTCTCTCTCTCTCTCAGCTAGCAGGAATTTTGCTGTCTAAAGTACAATTCCAGTTCTACCCACACAACACTGTCTAGCAAAGTGACAGGGAGACAGTGCCAACTGCTAATCTAAGCAAATTCATTTTTAATGCCTGCATGAAGAATGACTGGTCAGATATGTCTGAAGATAATTCTTTAGAACAATGGTTCTCAATATATGGGTCATAACCCCTGGTTGTCAAACAACCCTCTCACAGGGGTTGCCTCTTTCAGGCTGAAAGATTATAGAGATTCAGCTGTGTATTAAAGCTATACTTTGACTGGCCAAGGGTCTGTCAAAAGGCAAGCCATTTACTATGAAATATTTGGTGTTACCCAGTTTTTAATATTTCAGCTGTCTCCTGCTATGAAATTCTTGTGTGCCCAAATACTATAGACCATTTGGCAAACAACTAAGCTTCCCAGACCTGCTGAACATCTAGGTAACTAATTACCCTCCCCCCCCACCCTCACCAATATCTGGTGGTTTCCCTTTTTGGTTTATATATGCCTGTACTAGTTAATGTTTCATTTTTATAGCATAAATATTTTTGATTCTTAAGAATTCCATTGGATATTCCTTTTAAACAAAAGTAGTTTTGCTCCTGGGAACAATCTAGTAGTCTTAAGTGTGCAAAAATAAAGGTTTCAACCTCCATCCTCAGTGCTCACTTCTGTGCACAAACAATATGAATAGTTTCTGAACTCACTTACACTTCTACTTATGAAGAATACTCATGTATGTATGCATGGTAGTCCTAATCTTTTAAAGTGTGTACCATTAAAATATGGTATACACATTTTATGATATATTGTACACATATTATATACAACTTGGATAAATAATTTAACAGTAGATCCTGAACATCTCCCTAGAGAACACCAAATTCCTGTCAATATAAGGATCCCATGATCAGCAGACTGAGGAGGTGCCTAAGGGGATAAAGAGCTTTCTATGAACATGAGGACTGGAGTTCAGATCTCTAGAACCCATGTAAAAAGATTGGATAGGCTTGTTGGATGCCTGTACCCCAGGCATTCAGGAAGCAAAGACAGGAGATTCATTGGACATTCTGGCTAGCTAAATTGGCCAGAACCAGTGAAGTCCATAACCAGTGAAAGACCCTGCCTTGATAAAGCAGAGGGCAATTGAGGAAGATAATGTCAACTTCATGCCTCCATATGCACACATGTGAACATGTACACCCCTTGTACGTGTGCCCATAGATTCAAACACATGTGCCACACACAAATATACTTGCAAAATATTCCCATGATATAGATGTGTTGCTTGGATTCTAACAGCTCTCTCGGGGGAGGGGTGAGAAGGCACTATGTCAATAACACAGACACCAGGAGTCCTTTGAAAGCAAATAACGAACTCATGTATTCAATAATAGGGAAGACCTTATTTACCCTCCTCCCAGCACCCAGTCTGTGTGGTCATCGCTCATTGGCTGGGCACAATCAGGAACTCTAACATCGATCAGGAACACTGACAGTGACTGTTGCTAGGTTCTCAGGCAGACTAGGCACAATCAGGATCTCTGACAGTGACCAGGAACTCTGACAGCTCCTGTTGCTAGGCCTTCAGGCAGACTCCAGGTTGGCTCTTTTAAGGAGTATGCTATGTGCATGCCTTGGCAACTGGTCTGAGCCAATTTCCTTAACACTATGGGCCTGTCCTACTACATATCCACCCTTTAATTTTATTACATGGGCACTCAGTGGGAGTCGGAGTTCTTTGCTATGGCCTTGTTGACCCCACCTCAGGGGGGCTCAGCAACTGGACTGTGCCTGTCTTAGGTTGGCTTGCCAAACAAGCTCTTACCCGTCTTTGACTACCAGCCCTCGAAGAGCATCCATCCATAAGGGAGTCACCCAGGGTGGGGAGGGTCAGGCATTAAGTAGCCTTTTGAAGTTCAGAAAGCCAGGCATGCATAACCTCCTGTGGAGGGCTATGAGTTGGATGTCTAAGAGCCATTAATACCTATAGAGTAGCCTTAGTGGCCACCTGTTATTGTTGGATGTGCTGTAGAACACACTTAAAAAAGGAGCAAGATCAAAAGCACCACCCCTCCAATCAAAACAAAAGTGAAATCCAGAAGGGAATCTAACAGCCTCTTTATATAATGCCAACCCTTTTCAAAAAAAAAAAAGAGTCAAAGGCCATAACCTGTGCTCTTGTCTGATTTAATTGGAAAATTTCATGTGTTAGCTGTGATGGATAATATAGAAACTTAGCTGACCATGGGCCCTTAATATATTTAGCTAGCTCCTGGCCTGCTAAACTAATGTTCCTCATCTCAAAAGGCATCATACAAAATGAGGAAAACCAAGGCTCTACAAGTCTTCAGCCTTAAGAGGGGCAATAAGAGCAAGAAAGGGGAATATATGTATAACCCATCCTGGGTGATTTTCTCCTTGGTGGAAGCAGGCTGATCTAACAGTATACATATTGACACATCTCCTGCTGGGAACCATATTGGCATAGTGTCACTCTGAGGAAAAACACAAGCATACCCTCTCCCATGGGTTAGCAGGGGGGCTGGCAGCTGCCATTGGAGGGAGATAGGATCTCTCCATCTCACCAGGGGCAGGTGCATGTTCCTTGACAGAGACATTTAGTGCTTGTAGGCCGGGCTGAGCCCCTTGTAGGGCCTTGAGGGCCAGGTCTGAGACCTGTTGAAAATAGGCATTCAAACCAATCTGTGCCTGGTGCACAGGATGGACATATACCCCATGCCCTGTGAGCATATCATAGGTCACCTGGACATTAAGTAAGATGTTCGTCTGGGCCTGGGATTCTGCCTGATCATCATAGGCTGATTTCCAACTAAGAAAGACTGTAGGCTCCAACACAGCTTTAAGCAAATGATACCAATCAAAATAAGTTTGTAACTGCATGGACCACTGAGCAAGGATCTGCTGAAAGTAGGGGGAGTCTGGGCCTGACTCATTGGCTGCTTTCCTGATGAGGGAGAGATCAGCAGTGGGGGTGGGAATGCAGGGCTGGTCTTAGGTGTTTAGGCCCTTATTGACTGGGAAAGCTTCCATGGGCCTACGGACTGACAGTGGTGCAGGCTGTGAGTGTTGTAAGACATCTGGCACCACAGAAGAGTAGCCACCTCCGGAGGCAGGCTGGTATTGGGGTAGATTGCTGCAAGAATACTGTGGTGGAGCAGTAGCTGGCAGCGGTGGTGGTGGAGCAGAGGGGGTAGCAGCACGTGACTTAATGACAGTTGCCTTGACTGTGACAGATTTGGCGGGACCCAAACTGACAGCTACATTCTCCTTGACAGATTTTGGGGGGGGGGGCCTATTAACCTTGACAGATTTTACAGGACGCAAACTGACAGTTATGT